TAATCCACCTTTTCGTCCACTTCCATTCCCTCGTTTCTCCCTTGATGCCCATTTCTCCATCAAATGTTATCTCCTTCCCCCAGACCCTTTTAGTTTCCAGCCTACACCCCCAGACCTCCCTATTTCTCAGTCTGCCCAGGTCTCCAAACCTAACTCTACGCCTCTTTCCCTGCCCCTCCCCCGTTCCATCTTTATCCCCGCCCCCATCCCACCTCTACTCCCAATTCCCAGCTCAGCGCCACTCCACCTCTTATCCCAATCCCACCTCCTCTGCCCCACCTCCCGATACCCTTCACACTCCCCACCTTGCCATCTGCTCCTCCTTCTAGGTTTCCCTCAAACCCTCGAGGGCCACTCGCCTGTCCTCCCATTCCGGCTAGGGTCTCCCTCCCTACCCTGGTCCCATCCGTAGGTCGGCCCCTCCTCGGCCTTCCAATACTCAGATACACAAACACGCACGCATTCACTTTACCTTCAGTTTGTTCCATTCTAACCCCCCGGCCGTGTCAGTAGGATCACAGGAGAGACACGGAGGCCCGGAGTGGGACTGGGGTGCGGGCAGCCGCCGCCGGGGCTGCGGGGGGAGGAGATGGAACCAAGCTAGGCCGCATGAAATCCCCGGGCTAGATTTCCCTCGCGCCGGATGCCTCTGCCATGGCGGCGGGCACGGAGGAGGGCCACGGCCGGGCCGGGCCGGGCCAGGCCAGGCCGGAGCGGAGAGGAGGAAGGCTGCGGGAGGTAGGGGTAGGCAGGGGATGTGGAGGGATGGGGGTCGCCGTGCAGCCGCTGCTACCAGTGGAGCCTGTGGCTGGCAGCCGGACGGGGACAGCAGGGTCCTCCGGGCTCGAGTCGGCCTACGCACGCCTGTCCGTAGCGACCCGTGGACAGTTCCCCTCAGCCTCCGCCTCGATTCTGGCCGTCGACGCCGCCGCCCGCTCCCGCCGCCGCCACCGACGCCGCGCACAAAGTCCCCCCACCCCGACTCTCGGAGCGCCGCCGCCGCCGCCAAATCTTCAGCGGCTTATTGGCTGTCGGCCGCGGCGCCTACCGGGAAATGCAGTCCCGGGTTTGGGGCGCGGGGGGCGAAAGGAGGAAGAGGCTAGTCAGCGGGGCGGGAAGGAGGGGCCGGAGCGAGAACCAGAAATGTGAGCAGCCGGAGAGTCTAGACGAGAAGTGAGACCGCGAGCGATAAAGGAAGAGAGACACAGGAAGGAAAGGTGCGAAGGAGAGCGAAAACAAAACTCGAAGACAGGTTAAAGGCTGGCTGTGCGAGGTGGAAACTGCTCGTGCGTGTCACGTATTTAATAACAGCATGCATATTAAACACCATATGGCACGCCAGAGTGGCACGGATACACGAGTCCTGGACGTTGGGAACAACCTACTAACGGATGCCCGGTTACGGCGACAGGGAAAGGGTGCAACAACGTGCTTCCTTGGCTGTCTCCTGTCCGACAGCTGTCAGAGAAGAGCTGCCTGTTCCACATGGGTCTGCGTATGCACACCATGGCAGCAATCTCCTACTTGATCCTCAGGGGCGGTCTCTCTCTCAGCCATGCCTGTTTCAGCCGGATGCTACCCTGGCTCCCTGACTGCCAGCACTCGAAGGCCTTGGCTGCATCTCAGCCTCTGTGGAGAAGCGCCGACCTCCCAAGCAGGCACGGCGCCCCCCACTCGCCCACCCCGCGCCGACCTCCCTATCGGGCACCGGGTCCCCCACGCCTTCTTCCTGCTTGCACTGCGGGCCCGGGGACTTGTGGGTAACTAGGAGGACGTCAGCGCCTGGGCTCCCCAGACCCCGAGGGACCCAGAGGACTCTGCCCGTCACGTGTCTGGGCCTTTTACTTTCTGCCGCTCGCTGCCAGATCTTCCTTTCCAGGGATGTGAGGGCATTTGTCCTAGACAGAGTTCACGCAAGAATGAGAGGAGGAAAGGGGAGTAAAAATTCTCTGTAACCCTTTAGCCCTCCCCATCCTAGGAAATTTATGTTAAACAATGGAAGGTCCTGGGGCAGTAAATTGTTCTTGCTGGAGTGTGCAGATTTGGTGATATTTCCTGGGTACTGTTTGATAATGACCAGAACGTTGCAGCACAAAGAATATACAAGGGAAACACAGGCAGCAATCAGATGAGGAAACCAAAACTCTGCTCCCGTTTTGAGATTAGTAAAGCCATATCACTACTAGATGCAATCCTCTCCATAGACGTTCTAGTGCTGGATCTATTTTGTACAGTTACAAGAAATTCCTGATATCCTTAAATACCACTTAAATAAGAAATTAAAAAATTCCTACAGATCAATTATTTTAATTATTAATTTTATTTATTAATTTTATTTATTTGTTTATTTTATCCTCACCCAAGGATATTTTTCCATTTTTGTACAGATAGAGTGGGAGGGAGAGAGAGGAAGGGAGAGAGAGAGAGAAACATCAACGTGAAGGGACACATCGAGTGGCTGCTGCCCGCACGACCAACCAGGGCCGGGGACAAACTGCAACCGAACGTGCCCTTAGCGGGAACCGAACCCGGGTCTCTCCGGACCGCAGGCCGACGCTCTAACCGCTGAGCCAAACTGGCCAGGGCTATTTATTTATTTTTAAACATAACCCTGTTAATACTAAGGATGACACTAAGAATTAAGCATTTCCCCCCTGGCCGGTTTGGCTCAGCGGTTAGAGCCCTCGGCCTGCGGTCTGGAGAGAACCGGGTTCGGTTCCGCTAAAGAGTGCGTACCTTGGTTGCAGTTTGTCCCCGGCCCTGGTTGGGTCCTGTGGGTGACAGCCACTCGATGTGTCCCTTTCACATAGATGTTTCTCTCTCTCCCTCCCACTCTATCTGAACAAAAAGTGGAAAAATGTCCTTGGGTAAGGATATAAAAAAAGAATTAAACATTTTCATTAATCATTAAATATATCTATCAATAAAAAAAAACTATGCCTATGCAGTAACCTTTGTGTAGTAACAAAACCTAAAGGAATCAATAAAATCACATCTTTGTTTGTTTTAAATGCCTAGATGCCTTTTTGGAACACAGGCCTCCAAAGAGGGCCATCTGAGCTTATTTTAATTTGATTCTATCTCCTGGGAAGAAAGGTTAAATTGGTCTTTTTTCCCCCTATAATCTTTTCTACCTCTACCCTTCTTTTCCACATCCCCATGTTTACCTTGTTTTATTGATAAACGGTTGCCTTAACTTGAGACCTCGATTTTCATCTTGAGGAGAATCTGGTTGTCCTTGGGGATTTTGTTTGATTTTCTTCTAAAACTATGCTGACCAGAGTTTAAAATTAAAATTATGTGAGGAAGATGCATAGTCTCTTTCTGCAAAACATCAGAAAATACATTGTTAATAATATTTGATCTGGAGCCATATTTAGGAAAATGGCCATTAAAAATAATTATACTTTTAGCATCTAACATCTGAGGTTCAGAACATGCTTTCTCTTCTCCAAAGAAAATTAGCAAACAGGTCATTAAGACAGCAATCTAACAATCAGGACCAGAGTTAGGGAGAAAAACATTTTTTTTTTTTGAAGATTAAAGCTAAAAATTCCTTATGTTATAAATCATTTATCCTTAAAGTAAAAAAGTCGCCAGTCCTAATAACAGAAGGCAGACATTGCTTTGAACAAATACATTTCAATAAGAAAGATTCTTAACCCTTCCCTTTGCCGAAGAGGATTGCTGACATATGGCCATGGTAGAAAATCTAGCTGTTTTCAAATAGTGATCTTGGAATCATTCATCTGGTTTATGAATACTTAATGATTTTCACTGTGCCTGGTTGTAAGTGAATACAATGCATGAATAAGAATATTTCCCGGTATAAAATGTCTCCCAGGGACCTAAGAAGAATATTTTTGCATCCTTTATGATCTTTTCCAGAAAAGTATGGGGACATGGTAGTGCAGCGATTAATTTACGAAATTGATGTGAAAATCATACCCTAGTCTTTTAGCGCTCAAAATTTACCATGGAAATTGTCAGGAAAAGAAAGGGTAAAAAGACCAAAGCTTTGTAGAATTTGTTAATTTCAGTAAACACAGAACATGAAGTGAAACCTTTATGTGGAAAATTGGGCATCAGACATGCACAAAGGGCCCTCTAGTGGCCAAACTAAAAAGTTTTGCCGAATTAACATAGTTGATCTATTTAGTTACTAGCTGAAAAATGCTTTGTGAATTAAAAGCAGTCTGTATTTTTTTTTTATTAAGAAAAAGAACAAACCCTGAAATTTAATACCCACCATCTTTCATTCTTACAAATGTGCAGCCCAGATAAGTCTGTGGTCAACTAGCATGTTAAGAGAAGTGTTCTCCGTGAGAAAGGTATTCCTTGCTGTCTGGTGTTAGTCAAAGTAGAGCCACTGATTTTTTTTTTCCCCTAGAGCCAGAGAAAATGGATGGGTAGAGATAACTAGGGGGCGTGAACATTTCTAGATCTTTCACTTTCCCAAGATGGCTCAGTTGCCCATCCTAGGAATTGAAATGCCCCCCAAACCTGCACAACTACTCTAACGTATATTTTAAATACTTGAGATTTTTGCAGAAAGTACTGGTCATAAACAATACCTGTTAAGAGAACATTTATAAAGCAAATTCAGATTACAGAGTATTCCAGTCTTGGGCCAGAGAGACGTTTTCCTTACCATTCCCGCCCTTTCTGCCACTCCCTTTCCATTGCTTCCCCAGCCACAGTCTTGCAGTTGGAGGGGTGGGGCAAGAAAAGAAAAACATGAAAGTGATGTAATTCGTGACTCCAAGATGGTTACCATGGCGACTATCAGGCATACTGCACTAGCGGGAGAGTAGGAGCTTCTTCAACCCTGCTTTCAATGAAGAATTTCGGGGAGGGCTGGTCCACAACCTAGAGACTGCGGACAGGCAGAAAAACGTCAGTCTTGCGCCGCCCCACCCCTCATCCCCCGCCCCAGCACAGAGTCTCCTGAAACTAACGCAAGAGGGAAGTCAGTCACTTTGCTTGTGGGAACCAGACCTCGCTGCCTCTAGGGATGCTACCGCCAAGGACGCCTTCACGCCCCAGAACCTGAGAACCCAGCCCATTGGTGGGTGATGTCGTCACTCAGATGGCGTCACCCGCGAGGAAAGAGGCGGAGCCATAGAGACGGCCTCGGGCCCTTCTAGCTTGGGGAGTTGTGGAAGGGGGCCTCGGGAAGGGACTGGAGGACCGAGGCAGCCGTTCCCGGGAGCCCGCCAGAGGAGGTAGGGTGGCCCAGGTCCTCAGGCAGTGATCGGTGGACCGCGCCTGCCTTCCTGCGGAGCCCGCTCCCTCGCACCCTGTTCTTGCCATCAGCATTCAGAGTTCCCGACAGCTTCCAGTTGCCCAGCGCGCTCTCTTCGGCCCTTGACCTCGTCCCGCTGCCCGCCCAACAGCTTTGGAGCTCGGCCTCCACCACCCCTCTTTCGTGCTTCGCTTCCTCATTTCTCTCCCGTGCCCCGCACCTGCTTCTCGTCTACCCTCCATAAACCCGGGCAGCCGACAAGGTCCGTCGTCTCCTTGCCTGCACCACTCCCACACCAAACACCAAGAATCACCCCACACCCACCACAGTAAACCCAGTCCATCCACACCGCACGCACAAAAGCCACGGCTGAGGAAGGCGAGGGCGCGTTTTGTCCGGGGTCAGCAAGAGCCGGAAGCAAAGGTGTCCGGCGGCGAGGGGCGTGGGCCGCGCGTAGGCGCAGGCGGGGCTCGCCGCTGGGCCCGCCCGGCCCCCGCCCGGCCCCGCCCGGCCCCGCCCGCCTGGGGGGTGGTTTCCCGCAGCCCAGAGCGGGAGTGCCCCGGGCCGACAGAGGCTAGGCCGCCGGACGGGGTCTGGTCTTCCTGCTGTACGAGACGCCTGTTTCTGTAACGCGTATTTAAAGGTATAAAGCGCTGTGGAGAATCACTAGCACAGGAAACCGGTTCGCCTCCGCTTGAACTATTAGGTACCATGTATATCTTCGCTGCTACTTAAATGAGGACTTTCAATCTTTTTAAGAAATGATTCGTCTAATAATTTTTTAAAGAAATGTTTTTATTGATTTGAGAGAGAAACATCGATGAGGTTGCTTCTTTTTGTGTGTGTTTTTTTATTCTTTATCATTTTTTAACTTATCTTTATTGTTGAATGTATTACAGATCCCCCCCCCCCGCTTTTTCCCCATTGACCCCCTCCTCCCCAATTCCGCCTCCCTCCTGCCTTCCCCACACTATTGTTTGTGTCCATTGGTTATGCACATGTGCATAGAAGTTATTTGGTTTCTCTCTTCCCGCCCTCCCTCCCCCCTTCCCTTTGAGGTTCATCAGTCTAACAACCAATTTGTACATCTTAATTCATCTTCGTTCCCCAGTCCCCTCCCATTTGGCAAGCAACAAAAAGTTCTCTGTATGAGTCTGTTTCTGTTCTGCTTGCTCATTGTGTTTGTAGATTCAGTTGTTATAGAGATGTATTTATTGCCATTTTATTATTCATATTTTTGTTCTTCTCCTTCAAGAAGACCTTTCAACATTACATATAATATCGGTTTGGTGGTGATGAACTCCTTTAGCTTTTTCTTATCTGGGAAATTCTTTATGTGTTCATCGATTCTAAATGATAGCTTTGCAGGATAGAGTAATCTTGGTTGTAGTTCAGGTTGCTTCTTGTAGGCATTCCTACCACACCCTGACCAGGAACCTGCAACCTGGGCAGGTGCCCTGACCCAGAATGGAACCGGTAACCTTTCCCTGCTCAGAAGGAAGCTCAGCCAGCTGAGCCACACACACCAGGGCAGTGCTTTCAATCTTTTAAAGTTTGGGGCAGCTTGGCCAAGTATAGAAAAAAGCTAATTGAGAACAAACCCAGGATATTTATTTTCAACCTGTATTTTTAGGCTACCAATAAGTTACCTTGCTCAGCTTGAATACTTGGCAACCATTTAAATAGATTACTAGGTACTACTGACCAGAAATCAAAATGTTTTTGAAGACCGGGTATCACTATCTTGAGCATCATCATATTAAAGGTCATTTGTTGGGATCTCAAAGTACTGTTCTCAAATCCAGGGCTAATAAAACATTATTCATGATTGTTGGATGTGAACTTGAAAGATGTTTTTACACCTTGAATAGAATATGCAAATATTTTACCCTTGCAATAATTAAAAACACTTAAATCCTGATACCTTTATAATTGATGTGTTTTTCAAGTACTGAATTGTTTACCTACTCCTTCTGCCTAGGTCCCTATGTTGACTGGTTGAGACAAATATAAATATGGCCTTCTACTGTTATTATACAGTCTTAGCTATTGCCCGAACAAGGTAAGATTTGGAATTTCTCTCTGGCCCCCAATATTTATGTGAACTCTATTCTTCTAGATGGAAAAGATATATGTAAAAAGACAGGTTTACTACACAATTAAAGCTTTGTTGGTTTTAGCTATGTTGGTTTTTAGGAAGCTGACATTTTAATGTATTTGAACTTATCCCAAATTTTCTATATGCTTTAGAACTCAGACTGAGTAATTTTGTAGGTGTGTAATACAGGTAAGATAGAAGATGTAATGGTTTTGGAATGTGATTGCTGAATGTTATACAAGGCCCTTACATGTAAAAAGGAGTAAAGTGGTTTGCAAACAAGCCAATCCTAAGGCCAATACCTGCCCCAGCAAGGTCTATCACTTATTTATTGCAAAGAAAATGTGCTGGATAAATTGTACATCTTCCCTTTTAGACATTCAAAAACTATTTTATCTTGGCATGCTTCAAAAGCAAAGAATGGAAAAAGCCATCTCTTTGCCAAAAGTCTTTTTGTCAGGAACTTTCTTTGCCTAGATGATTTTATTTTTATTTTCAAACAATCTGATGTGCTAGTATAACTGAAGATTGTGAGCTGTTGCAAAAGTAGAATGTAGAGATCCCTAGCTGGGGTGCCCAATTCTAGTTCTTATTTCTAAGATTCTTTAGGAGTCTTGGGTTAAGGGCATTTCAGCTATAAGTGCCTCTTACTTGAGGGGATCCATGGGCGCTACATAGACAAAGCAATCCTATGTGATTGGTTAACCCCCAAAGGGACCTTGAAGTGCTTCGTTCAAATAACATTCCTATTGTCAGTAGATTAGGTGAAGACACAAGTCTTCCACTAGTTTTCTGGTAGTAGATAGTTACAGAACTTTCAAACACCCCTGAAAGAAAAATATTTGCTATTAGATTTTTAAATGAATAGTTGCAGAATTTCTAACTTCTAATATAGCAATTATTCTTAGAAACTAACTTACTAATATTTCTCATAGAATATATTATTCAACCATAAAGCTTACTGTTCTTCAACTGGGATTAAAAGTTATATTTCATTCACTAATGAACATCATCTGCTTTAATTGAGTACCAACTATGTAATAGTAACTTGACCCTAAATAAAAGGAAATTAGTTTGAACAGAAAAAAAAAAATACAGGCTTTAAAACTATTGTTTCATTTTAACCAGATACAGTATGTATTTCTTTTAAGTTTGTAATAATTTATGCTCAACTCAGAGGATGTTGCTCTTTATTCCAGATTCCCCAGCCAGTTTGTTCATTCTACCTGCTCTTATTTCCCATCACTTACATTTCTTCACTTGCCAGATTCCCATTTAAATAAAACATATATGAAGAACTATGGAAGCAAGAAACACTCCTATCCTAGTCAGTCAGGCAATAATGTAGTACTTCATTTACGAACTAGAATAATACAAAAATTACACACATCAACTTGCTGGCTACAAGAGGTCCCTGGCAAACCTCAGCTGGAGCAAACCCACAAAAAGCCACAAGTGACAAGCCCTCAGCCCACAAAAAAACCTGGTATGAAGACTAAGGAAGAAAAGCGATCTTACAGACAAAGAATTATGGATGAACTTAAATATTATTACAATGGATTCTATTTGCTTTGGATTGACACCAAAGTTGCTGCCAGAATGATTTGGAGGCTGTTGCATGGACAGGTGCTGACCAGACGAGAGAGACGAAGGGTAGGCAAGAATCATATTTAAAAAAGAAAATGTAAAGTTAAAATGAACTATTTAGGAACAAAATTTTAAATTCAACTTAAAATTTGTTTTTAAAAATCCCAAAGTAGGAATAGTAACTGATGGTGAGAACAAGAATTTCTCACTGAGTTTCTTATTTGTCTGCAAATGGCTTGCTGTATAACTTCAGGCAAAATTCTTTAAATTTGTTTATATTTGCCTATAGAATGGTTATAATTGTGTTCTCTAATCTCTCCAAGCATTTGAGAGGCTGCAGGTTTGATTTGTGAATCTGAAGTACAAACTGTTGTTAATATATGCATTTAAGAAAACAATTTTAACATATACTATGTTATTAAAGTCCAGACCCCTAAGTTAGATGAAAACTAAGAAATACCAATAATATGTTTTGATTGTCATAGATTTCCTTGAGGCTATCCCATAAATATTACTTCAGAGCTATGAAGAGGAAAATCCCACCTTTCCATTTTACAAACTACTGCAGAAAATATCTTGTGTTTTTAACACTTTAAGAGCCAAAGCAGGCTTTTTACGTTTAGTGGTTTTTGTTTTCTGGTTTTTGTGGGTTTTTTTGCACATCCTAAAATAATGAATACTGCATATGCATTTAATTCTTTAGCTATTGAGGACTTGTGTTGATTTCTTCCGCTTGGTTCCATTTATGATGTTCATAATTGTACCCTTCATGGAATTCTTATTACCAGTGTTTCTGAAATTCTTCCCAGAGATGTTGCCATCAACTTTTGAAAGTGAATCCAAAAAGGTATGTAGGCATTTTTAACTTTTAACAAATTAATAGTCTTCAGTTTTTAGAGAAGTTTTTAGGTTTACAGAAACATTGTACAGAAAGTACAGAGAATCCCCAGGTACCCCCCTCCCCTTCTGCTATTATTAACATCTTACATTAGTGTGGTACATTTGTTATAATTGAATAACCAATATCCATACATTATTATTAATTAAAGCTCATACTCTAGGGTTCATTCTTTGTGTTGGCATAGTTTTATTGGTTTTGACAAATGCATAATGTCATGTATCCACCATCACAGTGTCCTACTGCTTTTTTTTTTTTTTATCTTTATTGTTGAATGTATTACAGATGTTCCTCATTTTTCCCCCATTGACCCCCTCTATCTCACTCCCTCCCCACTCCTGCCCTTTTCCACACTGTTGTCTGTGTCCATTGGTTATGCATATATACATATAAGTTCTTTGGTTTATTTCTTCCCACCCCCCAACCCCCCTTCCCTTTGAGGTTTGTCAGTCTAGCAACCAATTTGTACTTCTTAATCCCTTCACCTTTTTCACCCATTCCTCCAACCCCCCTTCCATCTGGCAACCAACAAAATGTTCTCTGTATCTATGAGAATATTTCTGTTCTGCCTGTTCATTTTGTTTGTAGATTCCATTGTCGGTGGATATGTATTCATTGCCATTTTGTTTGTTCACATATTTTATCTTTTTCTTCAAAAAGACCCTTCAACATTTCATATAACAATGGTTTGGTGGCGACAAACTCCTTTAACTTTTTCTTGTCTGGGAAACTCTTTATATGGCCATTGATTCTAAATGACAGCTTTGCAGGATAGAGTAATCTTGTTGTAGGTTCTTGTATTTCATCACTCTGAATATTTCTTGCCACTCCCTTCTGGCCTGCAAAGTTTCTTTTGAGAAATCAGCTGACAGTCTTATGGGAACTCCCATGTAGGTAACTAACTGCTTTTCTCTTGCTGCTTTTACGATTCTCTCTTTGTCTTGAACCTTTTGCATTTTGATGATGATGTGTCTTGGTGTGGGCCTCTTGGAGTTCATCTTATTTGGGACTCTCTGTGCTTCCTGGGCATGTATGTCTATTTCCTTCACCAAGTTAGGGAAGTTTTCTGCCATTATTGTTTCAAATAGATTTTTGATTTCTTGTTCTCTCTCTTCTCCTTCTGGTACACCCAAGGTGCGAATGTTGGCACGCTTGAAGTTGTCCCAGAGGCTCCTTACACTATCCTTATCTTTTGGGGTTTATTTTTCTTTTTGTTGTTCTGATTGGGTGTTTTTTGCTTCCTTATATTCCAAATCGACGGTTTGCTTCGTGGCTTTACCTACTCTACTATTGAATTTGTGTAAATTATGCTTTATTTCAGTTAGTGCCTCCTTCATTTCTCACTGGTCCATTTTTATGCTCTTGAGGCCCTTACTAAGTTTGCTGAGGTTCCCACTAAGTCCATTGAGCATATTTATAAGCAGTATTTTGAACTCAGCATCTGTTAGGTTGCTTATCTCCATTTCGCTTAGTTCTTTTCATGGGGTTTTGTTCTGTTTCTTCATTTGGGACATGTTTCTTTGTCTCCTCATTTTGGCTGCCTCCCTGTGTTTGTTGTAACGAGAGGTATGGGGCTAGCTGAGACCAGATGCTGCTCATTTGAAAGAATTTAGGAAAACCTGAAGCAGGATCTGAGACAGGCCAATCCTATAGTTAACCAACTGGCAACAGCTTGGGCGGGCCTGAAAGTTGTGTGGGGCGGGGTCTCAGGGAATCACCAGGGCAGGGCTACCAGTGTGAGCCAGGTTGCTGGAGTCCCAGATATGGCGGCTATCTGCCGCCCCAGGGAAGGGCTCACCAAAGGAACAAAGGCCTCTGACAGCACGTTTGTCCCTGAGAAAGCCCCCTCTCCAGCCCTCACTCCAATGCTGAACAGCTCAGTTCTTCCCTGTATGTATCTGGTGCCCCTCAAGCTGCCTCCCTTCCAAGCTTAGAGGGAGAGAGTCCGATAAGTCTGTGCGCGGGCCCTTTAAGAGGAGCTGCCTGGGGTTCCAGCTGCCTCAGCCTCCCTGAGCCTCAGTTCCTGCTGGTGTTTCCAGCCAGAAGTGATGGGGATTCTCTTCCTGGCACTGGAACCCTGAGCGGGGCACCTGGTGTGGGACGGGGACCCCTCAGTCCTCAGGGAGGATGTTCCCAGCCGAGGCGTCCTCCTGATTTTTATCTGCCACACATGGGTGTGCGACCAGCCCTTCCGCCTCTGCCTCTCCTACCAGTCTCTATGTGGCTGCTTCTTTAATTCCGTAGTTGTAGGACTTCCATTCAGCTCGATTTCAGGCAGTTTTGAAAGATGGTTATTCTGTAGTTTAGTTGTATCTTTGATGTAGTTGTGGAAGGATGCGATACCGCATTTACCTACGCTGCCATCTTGACCGGAAGTCTGCTGCTTTAAAATCCCCTGTGGTTCAAGTGTTTGTCCCTCTTCCCTCTGTTCTTCAACCCGTGGCAACTACTGATCTTTTTACTATCTCTATAGTCTTGCCTTTTCTAAAATGTCATATAGTTGGAATCACAGAGTGTGTGGCTTTTTCAGACTGGCTCCTTTCCCTACACAATGTGTTTCCTCCATCTCTTTTCATGCCTTGTTTTTTCTAATCACTGCATGATATTTCATTGTGTGGATGTCCCACAATTTATTCATTCACCTATTGAAGGACATCTTGGTAGCTTCCAATTGTTGGCAATTATGAATAAAGCTGCTGAAAATATCCATGTGCAGGTTTTTGTTTGGACATAAGCTTTCAGCTCGTTTGTGTAAATTCCTAGGAGAGCAATTGCTGGATTATATAGTAAGACTATGCTTAGTTTTGTAAGAAATTGATAAATTGTCTTCCAAAATATCTGTACCATTTGTATTCCCACCAGCAATGAATGACAGTTTCTGTTGCTATATATCTTCATAAGCATTTGGTGTTGTAGGGCTTTAAGTATTAGCCCTCTAATAGGTGTGCAGTGATATCTCATTGCTATTTTAATTTGTAACTCTTTAATGACATTTGATGTTGTGCATATTTTTATATGCTTATTTGCCATCTAAACGTCTTCTTTGGGGAGGTGTCTATTCAAACCTTTTGCCCACTTATTAACGGGGTTCTTAATTTTCTTATTGTCGGGATTTAAGAGTTCTTTGTATATTTTTGGATGCAAGTTCTTTATCAGACATGTGTTTTGCAAATATTTTCTCCCAGATGGTGGCTTATCTTTTCATTCTTATAACTGTCTTTTGCAGGACAAATATTTAAAAAAATTTTTTTATCCTCACCCGAGGACATTTTTTCATTTTTTGTTCAGATAGAGTGGGAGGAAGAGAGAGAGAAACATTGACGTGAAAGGGACACATCTAGTGGCTGCCTCCCGCACGACCCCAACCGGGCCGGGGACAAACTGCAACCAAGGTTTGTGTCCTTAGCAGAAACCGAACCCGGGTCTCTCTGGACCGCAGGCTGACGCTCTAACTGCTAAGCCATACCAGCCAGGGCCAAATATTTTAAATTTTACTGTAGCACAACTTTATTTTTTTTTTTCTTGCTTGGATTATGCTTTTGGTGTTGTATCTAAAAACTCTTGCCAAATCCAAGGTCACCTAAGATGTTCTCCTAGGTGTTTTGTAGTTTTGAGTTTTACATTTGAGTCTATGATCCATTTTGAGTTATTTTATTTTATTTTTGAGGAAAGTCATATAACACTTTTATTGCTTTGGGGTGGGGCAGGCTACCTCCTCTTTGCCGTCACTGGCTTCTGGCTGCACAGGATGGCACTGGCCCTGTGGATGGCGACCCTGTGCAGATCGGGCAGTACTTGTTCTTGCGGCTATGAGCTGGATGCCGTTCAGGGTGGCCAGGCATTTTTGTTGATGGTGGTCTGCACTAAGTGGCCAGTTTTCACTGTCTGAATCTCTGCTTCAGGACGACCACCACACCTTTGCCATTGGCCCGCTGGTTTCACACCCATGGTCTTTTGGTGAATCGGCTTGTTTTTTCGTTGTAGTCAAAGGAATTGCGGGTCTTCACATTACAGTACTAGGTTCGCTGCTGTAAGTCTGCTTGTTCCTCTAGATCAGGAAGCAGGAGTAGTTTCCTACACTGTCCATTGCAGGTGGGCAGACATGGCCACAGCTTCCCTTGGCCAGAGACAGAAAGAGCAAGTTAATTTTTAAGAAAGGTGTAACATCAATGTCAAGAGTCACTTTTTAACCCTGGACAGTTTGGCTCATCGGTTAGAGTGTCGGCCTGAGGACCGAAGAGTTCCAGTTGGATTTTGGCCTACTGCACATGCCTTGGTTGCATTTAGTCCTTGGCCCTGGTTGGGGTCCTGCGGGAGGCAATCAGTCCATGTGTCCCTTTCACGTCTATGCCCCCCCCCCCTTCCTCTCCCTCCCTCTTACTCTACCACTCTATCTGAACAAAAAAGTGGAAAAATGTCCTCAGGTGAAGATTAAAAAAAAAAAAAGAATCACTTTTTACACGTGGATATCCAGTTTTACCAGCACCATTTGTTGAAAAAAACTACCCCACTCCATTGAACTTTAACTTGTTTTTAACTGTTGAAAAGTAAAGCAAACATAAATCAATTGTTACTACAGTGACTGCTTGAACATCAGGCATGATCCATTCAGTGGAACAGACACTTTGCTGCTTATGAGTTTTCTCTGAAAAGAGGGTGTCCTCGTTTGATGGTCACTGTGAAGGTGATAAGCTAGAAAACTGAGGCAGCTTCATCATCTTTATTCTGTGCCACTCTACTAGACAGTGATCTGAAGATATGAACACAGTATTATGAAGAGACAAAGAGGGCAACTTTTAAATCAGATTGAGAAATGTTTCACAGAAGAGATAACTGTGGAACCCAGATTTAAAGAGTGGTAGAATTTTACCTCCATGTTTGAATGACATTCTGGATAGAAAGAATAGTACTCAAAATGGCTTAATGGTGTAAAAGAGTGTGACATAACCAGAAACCACTAATTGGATCTTTATGGTTGGAATACAAGGGGATCAATGGTAGAAGATGAGACAAAAGTGGGATGTTGGGTCAGGTTGAAAAGCATCTACCACCCTACAAAATTCAGACTTTACCTTAGACAGTGGTAAATGATGGAAGGTAAATTTTGGCAGGGGGACAGGTAACAGGATTAGGTCTGTGTCTTAGAAAAATAATTTTGCTGGCAGGAAAGAGTGAAGAGAGCAGAATCAAGGGAAGGAAGTCAACTGGAATGCTATTTTAATAGTAAGAGAGAGGACCAAGCCTAAATTCTGAACATTGCATAGAATAAAATCTTAAAGACAGATTTGATAATGCATTTAAAGGATAGAATCAAGTTGCAATATATAACTGCCTGGCAGTGATTTAATACTTACATTAAAACTAATTGGGATCTATGCCAGGTCGATGTGGCTCAGTGGCTAAGTGTCGACCCATGCACCCAGAGGTTACCAGTTTGATTTCTGGTTAGGGCACATGCCCAGGTTGTGGGCCCAATCCCCACTGGGGTCATGCAGGAGGCGGCCATTCATTGTTCTCTCTCACTGATGTTTCTGTCTCTCTCTCTCTCTCCCTCCCTCCCTTCCTTTCTCTCTAAAAATCAATAAAGAAAAAAAGTAAACATATTTGTAAAAAAAAAAGTAATCTGGATCTAGAATTAATACCAAGGGATTTTAAGAAAAGTGTTAATGAATGTAGGAAGATGGGGATAGGGGGGATAGAGGAGGTGATTTATCTGAATATTCCTCTTTCCTCAGCACTATTCATCCCTGAACATACATCATGGGCACAGTCCTAGAAAATACTTTCTTGTTTACTTTGTTCCATGAAAAGAGAGACAGTAAATTAACAAGAATGCTAGCTTTCTGTTTACATCAGATCACAGTACCATGCATTTCTCTTTCATAGTACTTCTCAGTTATACTTTCACATCCATTTGTGGAATTACTGTGTTATCTTTAGTCACTAATGTTTGTCTCTCCCATTAGACTAGAAATTCCATGAGGGTAGGAATTCATATCTGTTTTTGCTCATTTTTTCTCTAGCACCTAGCACATGGTAGGTGCTCCATAAGTGGATGGGTGGGTGGATGGATGTAGATATTGATATAGATGAATGAAATGGATGACTAAAAATGGTATTGATTAATGGTAATGATTAATCATAGTATTGCCACTGTGTGAGATTTTTGGCTGAGTCTTTTAAGATCTTTCTAAAAACCAATTACACAGTCTCTCCAATATTTTAAGTATCAACCTGGCACCATACATAGTTATTACAATATTAATGACTATATTTCCTATACTGTACTTTAAATCCCCATTTTTAGTCATCCATTTCATTCATCTAAATCAATATCCACATCCATCCACCCATCCATCCACTTATGGAGCACCTACCATGTGCTAGGTGCTGGAGAAAAAATGAGCAAATGCTATGATTGGGTGATCATCAGAATCTTTTGGGTGACAAAAAATAATGTTATATATAACACATATATTCCTGTGTTTCTCTACCCCACTGAGCCCTAACCATGGTTATTTTGAAAATACCATCACACTGCATTTTTTATGATGAACAAGGATTTAGAAATAATGGTCAACATAGTGTCTTAAGAGTGTACACCTAATTCTCTTCTGTGTAGTGCTTTGTTCATATGTGTTATAGCAGTTAACTCAATGTAGTATAATAAATTGTGTCTCTTTTACATTACTTAAACTATAAGCTACTGTAGCATAAAGTTAATTTCTTAGTTTTATTTTGCTCATGGCCCAAGCAAGATCCAGGGCCACTCAGACCAAGGGTTTGCTCAACTTGCAATCTTAGATGGTTTGCATCAGGTTGAAAATAGTATCTCATTTATAAATAACTCAGACAACCCAAATGCTCATCAGTAGACATGTGGGTACATATATATTAAAAAAAAAAAAGCTGTGGTACATATATATACACAATGGAATATTACTTGGCCATAAAAAGAATGCAATCTTACCGTTTGTGACAGCATGGATGGACCTAGAGTGTATTATGCTAAGTGAAATAAGTCAGTCAGAGAAAGACAAATACCATATAATTTCACTTACATGCGAAATCTAAAGAACAAAACGAATGATAAAACAGAACAGAAACAGACTCATAGATACAGAGAACAGACTGCTAGTTGCCAGAGGGGAGAAGGGTTGGGGGTTGGGTGAAAAAGGTGAAGAGACTAAGGAGTACTATACAAAATAGTCATGGGGATGTTTTAAAGTACAGTATAGGAAATATAGTCAATAATATTGTAATAACTATGTATGGTGCCAGGTTGATACTTAAAATATTGATACTTAAAAGACTGTGTAAAGTATATGATTGTCTAACCACTATGCTGTACACCTGAAACTATAAAAAATAATGTTGAGCCCTAGTTGGTTTGGCTCAGCGGTAGTGTTAGCCCACGGACCAAAGAGTCGCGGGTTTGATTCTGGTCAAAGGCACGTACCTCAGTTGTGGTTCAGTCCCCAGCCCTGGTTGGGATCGTGTGGGAGGCAACCAGTAGATGTGTCTCTCTCACATCGATGTTTCTCTCTCTCTCTCCTCCCTCCCTCCCACTCTATCTGAAGATAAAAATGGAAAAAAGTATCCTCAGGTGAGGATTTAAAATAAAGAAATAAAGAAATATTTTTAATATAAATTGTAATTGAAAAATAAAATTAAGCCCTAGCTGGTTTGGCTCAGCAGTTAGAGCGTCTGTGGACAAAAGAATTGCGGGTTTGATTCCTGGTCAAGGGCACATACTTCAGTTGTGGGTTCCATCCCCACGTCTGGTCAGGGTCATGTGGGAGGTAACCAATCGATGTGTCTCTCTGATCATTGATTTTCTCTTTTTCTGCCTTTCTCCCTACCACTCTATCTAAAAATAAATAAGTAAATAAATAAATAAATAAATAAATAAATTCAATGGAAAAATATCCTTGGGTGAGGATTTAAAAAAAAAAGAAGAAAAATAATATTTAAAAAAGGAAATAATATCTCATTTTAAATAATGACAAAGCCTATCACTGAAGGAATAGTTTGTATCTATCAAATATTTATGATCATTGTATTAGTGATAAAGAAAAGATTAAGGAGATAATTTGAAAATAGAGGTTACTTTTTATTTGCTCTGGTTCTTTCAGACCCACTCAATTAGGTCTGAAAATAATATTAATACATGAAATAGGGATGAACAAAAACAAGGTAACAGTTATTTTTCTTGCATCTTTATCTACCAAGTTGTAATCATGAAGAATTGATTAACTTTTCTCTTTTATTATTAAGGAAGAAAAACAGAAAAAGAGAATGGCTGCAAAATTGGAACTAGCAAAATTTCTTCGAGAAACAATTACAGAAATGGCAAAGAGGAACAGGGCAAAACTAGGAGAGGCCTCTACACAGTTCTCATCCTATGTCAAACAGGTGTCGGTCTTTGATATAATACCAAACAACTTCTGGGCTGGGAGTTACATGAAAAAAATGCGTCACATGGATTTTCCAAATTGTTTACGATCTCTGAATTTTCAAATCTTAAGTTATATAGATATGATATTACCAATGTTTATGGTTGTTTGCAGAAATATCTATCTTAAAGCAGCCAATGTGCTGAGGACATTGATAACTTCTTGGAAAGAATTAGTCAAACGTTTGAACTACTCCTCATTTTCCAGTTGATGTATGCCAACTTCAGATTTCTTTACTTCTCTTTGTACCACAGGGCCTGTTTCTATACTTAAGATAGAATCCATAAATGTTTAGATGTGTCTTTCACATAGCCTACTGGGAAGGTTAAATTAAGTAGAAAACACATTTTAATTATTTAATTGTCCCACTGCCTAGGTGCAGACAGGCCACAAGCCCAGCACAAAGGAGATAGTTCGTTTTTCCAAACTATTTGAGGATCAGCTAAACCTGGAGCACCTAGATCGACCTCAGCTGGTTGCCCTTTGCAAACTGCTAGAACTACAGTCTTTTGGTACCAACAATTTGCTCCGCTTTCAGCTCCTGATGAAACTGAGGTCTATAAAAGCAGATGATGAAGTAAGAACTTAATTATATCTGTAGAGAATTAGCAAGGCACTGTGAGCTATCTTAGGGTGGCTTTGTGATAAAGTGCAGTGTCTTCTGTTAGGTCTGCTCATGTACTGGCTCTAGGAAAATGAGTAGTTTGAACAACCATTACCATGACAGCCTGAACCTAGATTACTCATTTTAGTAGTTATTGTACTCTGACCCATTTTCTTGAGAAGGCCTTCATAAGTGGTTAGTAATTTGGATGTCTTTGCTGAAACTAAGCTAAAGCAGTTAGGACCCACTGGGAAGGAACAGCAGTTCAGTAGATTTCTGAGTCTTCTTCTGCCAAGGACAGGGTTCCACCCTCACACCTCTGCTCCCTTCCTGCAGAGCTGGTGCTAAAGTAAATATTCTGCTGGGTGAGCTTGCCTGGTAAGAAGGGGTGGCAAAATGTAATGCAGGGAGGGAGAGCAGTGCCTAGACATTTGTGGAAGAAAGGCACCGTTTGGACTATAACTATGAATTAGACTCCTTTAAAAAATGGAAGAATTGCCCACCCAGTGTGGCTCACTGGTTAAGCATCGACCAATGTACCAGGAGGTTGCTGGTTCAATTCCCGGTCAGGGCGCATGCCCAGGTTGTGGGCCAAATACCCAGTCGGGGGCGTGTAGGGGGTGGCCAATCAATATTCTCTCTCATTGATGTTTCTGTCTCTCCTTCGTCATTCCTCTCTCTCTAAAAATCAATAAAAAAATTTTTAAAAAAATGGAAAGAATCTTTCTTGAATCTGAATCAGTTGCTTTAAACTTTAAAGCATTCTGCCTGAAGGAGCAGGATTCTCAGAACTGAGACACATGATCCCATTGGCCCCATTTAGATTTCAGTTGTGTTTTCAGAACCTTAGAATGAGCAGTACTGGTCCCAGAAGTATCATAGTTTTGGGTCACACCTAGCAGAAACTGTGTTATTTATTGAGGGAGTTTTGTGGACCAGAGAGTTAGGGCTATTCCTGGGGTATTGGTAGGGGATAGTGGGGAAAGAACACCACTGGGACATGCAACAGATGGCATAGAAAGCTTTTCAAGTCAAATATTTTTTAAATGAATCTGAAAGCCCCACGAAAGGGAAGAGTAGAGACATCACAGGCAGGCAAATGCAAATCAAGAGGGAAAATAATTACTTTGGTGACTGTGTTGAGGAGAAGTTATATAAATATCTCCAATATTACTAATACCTCTTGGCAGGAGTCCCTTCATCTCAACTGCTATACCTTTCTAAGTCACCTTGTTTATATAGGCATCTGGCCTTTGCAGCAGTCAGTGCTAGGGACAAAGCACAGGATCTGAAAATATCAGATCCTGTGTTTCCACTGATTAGTTGGAATTTAGGAATTAGGTAAAATTGGAACCAAAAAATGGAAAACCATTCCTTACATTTCTTTCAGATAATTGCCAAAGAAGGGGTGAGTGCTTTGAGTGTGTCAGAACTACAAGCTGCCTGTAGGGCTCGAGGGATGAGATCACTGGGTCTTACTGAAGAACAACTGAGACAACAGCTCATGGAGGCAAGTAACAGCTTTCCTGGGTCCTTTTCACTAGCTCTTTTCCCTACAATTTGCAGACCTCATTTTGTGACTTCTACTTTGCAAATGAATCATCTTACCTAATTTGCTTTATTTAACTGAGCAGTGGGATGCCAAAGCAGCTAGTTTGTTTTTTTTTTAATCTTTATTATTGAATGTATTACAGATGTTCCTCATTTTTCCCCCATTGACCCTCTCCTCCCCACTCCCGTCCACCTCCTGCCTTTCCCCACACTGTTGTCTGTGTCCATTGGTTATGCATATATGCATATAAGTTCTTTGTTTTATTTCTTCCCACCCCCAACCCCCCTTCTCTTTGAGGTTTGTCAGTCTAGCAACCAATTTGTACTTCTTAATCCCTTTACCTTTTTCACCCATTCCCTCAAACCCCCTCCCATCTGGCAACCAACAAAATGTTTTCTGTATCTATGAGAATGTTTCTGTTCTGCCTGTTCATTTTGTTTGTAGATTCAATTGTTGATAGATATATATTCATTGCCATTTTGTTTGTTCATATTTTTTGCCTTTTTCTTCAAGACCCTTCAACATTTCATATAATAATGATTTGGTGGTGATGAACTCCTTTAGCTTTTCCTTGTCTGGGAAACTCTTTATATGGCCATTGATTCTAAATGACAGCTTTGCAGGACAGAGTAATCTTGGTTGTAGGTTCTTGCATTTCATCACTCTGAATATTTCTTGCCACTCCCTTCTGGCCTGCAAAGTTTCTTTTGAGAAATCAGCTGACAGTCTTATGGGAACTCCCATGTAGGTAACTAACTGCTTTTCTCTTGCTGCTTTTACGATTCTCTCTTTGTCTTGAACCTTTTGCATTTTGATGATGATGTGTCTTGGTGTGGGCCTCTTGGAGTTCATCTTATTTGGGACTCTCTGTGCTTCCTGGGCATGTATGTCTGTTTCCTTCACCAAGTTAGGGAAGTTTTCTGCTACTATTGTTTCAAGCAGGTTTTGCATTTCTTGTTCTCTCTCTTCTCCTTCTGGCACCCCCAAGATGCGAATGTTGGCACGCTTGAAGTTGTCCCAGAGGCTCCTTGCACTATCCTTATCTTTTGGGGTTTATTTTTCTTTTTGTTGTTCTGATTGGGTGTTTTTTGCTTCCTTATATTCCAAATCGATGGTTTGCTTCGTGGCTTTACCTACTCTACTATTGAATTTGTGTAAATTATGCTTTATTTCAGTTAGTGCCTCCTTCATTTCTCACTGGTCCATTTTTATGCTCTTGAGGCCCTTACTAAGTTTGCTGAGGTTCCCACTAAGTCCATTGAGCATATTTATAAGCAGTATTTTGAACTCAGCATCTGTTAGGTTGCATATCTCCATTTCGCTTAGTTCTTTTCATGGGGTTTTGTTCTGTTTCTTCATTTGGGACATGTTTCTTTGTCTCCTCATTTTGGCTGCCTCCCTGTGTTTGTTGTAACGAGAGGTATGGGGCTAGCTGAGACCAGATGCTGCTCATTTGAAAGAATTTAGAAAAACCTGAAGCAGGATCTGAGACAGGCCAATCCTATAGTTAACCAACTGGCAACAGCTTGGGCGGGCCTGAAAGTTGGGTGGGGTGGGGTCTCAGGGAATCACCAGGGCAGGGCTACCAGTGTGAGCCAGGTTGCTGGATTCCCAGATATGGTGACTGTCTGCCGCCCCAGGGAAGGGCTCACCAAAGGAACAAAGGCCTCTGACAGCACGTTTGTCCCAGAGAAAGACCCCTCTCCAGCCCTTGTTCCAATGCCAAACAGCTCAGTTCTTCCTTGTATGTCTCTGGCACCCCTCAAACTGCCTCCCCTCCAAGCTTAGAGGGAGTGAGTCTGTGCGCGGGCCCTTTAAGAGGAGCTGCTGGGGGCTCTAGCAGCCTCAGCCTCCCTGAGCCTCAGTTCCTGCTGGTGTTTCCAGCCAGAAGTGATGGGGATTCTCTTCCTGGCACTGGAACCCTGAGCGGGGCACCTGGTGTGGGACGGGGACCCCTCAGTCCTCAAGGAGAATCTTCCCAGCTGAGGAATCCTTCTGATTTTTTCCACCACACGTGGGTGTCGGACCAGCCCTTCCGCCTCCGCCCCTCCTACCAGTCTCCATGCGGCTTTTTCTTTAATTCCATCGTTGTAGGACTTCCATTCAGCTGATTTCAGGCGGTTTTGAATGATGGTTTTTCTGTAGTTTAGTTGTAACTTTGATGTGGTTGTGGGAGGACGCAATGCCACATTTACCTACGCTGCCATCTTGACCAGAAGTCGCTAGATTTTTTTTGACTGAGACAAGGTACTGAATTAGTTTTCTATCGCTCTCATAACAATGATCACAAATGTAATAGCTTAAAACAATGCCCATTTATTAGCTGATAGTCCTATAGGTCAGAGGTGCAGGCCGTGTTCCTTTCTGGAGGCTGTGCGAGAGACTCCACTTCCACGCTGTTTGTTGGCTGAATTTAATTCCTTACAGCTGCAGGACTGTGATCCTTGTTCCCTTACTGGCTTTCAGCCCTGGGCTACTCAGTCCTGGAGGCCGTCAGCATTCCTTAACCTCCAGGTCGCCTCTATCTGCAAAGAATTTTTTTTTTTTTTTTTTAATCCTCATCCGAGGATATTTTTCCATTTTTTGTACAGATAGAGTGAGAGGGAGAGAGAGGAAGGAGAGAGAGAGAGAAACATCGATGTGAAGGGACACATCGAGTGGCTGCCACCCGCACAACCAACCAGGGCCGGGGACAAACTGCAACCGAAGTACGTGCCCTTAGCGGGAACCGAACCCGGGTTTCTCCAGACCGCAGGCCGACGCTCTAACCGCTGAGCCAAACTGGCCAGGGCTGCAAAGAATTTTTCACATGCCAACCTCCCACATGCTTTAAATCTCAGACTTCCCTTGTTTTTGATTTGTAGTTTCAGATTTAAAGGTCTCATGTGATTAGGTGAGACCCACCCGCATAATCTTCCCATCTTAAGATCATGATTTGGGACCTTAATTATACCTGCAAAATCCGTTCATAGCAGCACCTAGATTAGTGTTTCTTTTTAAGATTTTTAAAATTTATTTTTATTTATTGTTAATGCTCACCCAAGGATATTTTTTCCTTTGATTTTTAGAGAGAGTGGAAGGGAGGGAGGGAGGATATATAGAGAGAGACTTCAATTGATTGCCTTCCTCCCAGAGGCACCTCAACCAGGGCCGGGGATCAAACCTGCAACCCAGATATGTACCTTTGACAGGAATAGAGCCAAAGACCCTTTGGTGTACAGGCTGATGGTCTAACCACTGAGCGTAATCATTGAGTCACACTGGCCAGGATTTTTTTAAAAATATGTTTTTATTGATTATTTAGAGAGAGGAAAGAAGAAATAGGAACATCGATGTGAGAGAGAAACACTGATTGTCTGCCTCCTGCACACTCCCACTGAGGATCAAGCCCACAACCCAGGCATGTGCCCTGACCGGGAATCAAACCTGCCACCTTTTGGTGTATGGGACAATGCCCAACCAACTGAGCCACACTGGCCAGGTTGGTTAGTGTTTAATTGAATAACTGGGAGGTGTGGGTGCATCAGGGCCTATGTCAGGTATTGTAAGGGCCTGAACAAACACTCTACTACAGGGCTTGTCATGTGTGTGACTCCATCTGGAGGTGTAGCCTTGCCTGCGGCTCTCCTGGACTGCTTTCCCAATTAGTGCCCCAAACCAATGTAAAGTGCTAGCTTTGGTATCAGGTGTTTAATATTTTCCCTCAGACATAAATTTTGAGTAAATTTAATGTTTTTTTTTTTTCCAAATTATAAGAGAAAGTGTTTTTAGAAAGTTACAGAGGTAGTGGAAGTGAGCCAGCTGGGCTGTGTAGGCTCAGGAAACAAGTTACAGGGGCAGAAGAAGGGCCCTTGGAGCTTAGGAGGGAGAAAGGCAAAGGTAACAGGCCTAGGGCGGAAGAGGAGAAAGGAAAGGTGCTGGCGTGCTCCCGAGAGGGAGAGCATGCTTACATTTAATGCTCTAAAAGAAAGGAGTAACTCCTATTAAAATTCTCATTCCTATAACTGTAAAACGTGCTGTAAAGTATACACAAGTGATTTTTGGACAGGGGCCATTTTTGTGACTTTGAAACCATGTTTGGTAGCTTTTCCTCTTACATGTTGGATCTGCTCTGGTTGGCAGATGGACATATCGTAGAGAGGTACTAAAATAATTTATTTCTTGAACAGAGAGCATTAAGTGGATTCAACTGTCAAGTTACTTTCTTGAAAGGGTATATCATTTTACAATCCCACTACAAGGGAGTGAAGATACTAATTCAACCATGTGACATGCAGCACTATGTATTATCATTCAAAAACTCTGGTTAGGATATGGGCAGACATTTCAATAAAAATAAAAATAGTAAATAGGAAACATCTTAATTTCATAATAAGATAAAACTATGAGATACCACATTCACCTAGTATGTTGGCAAAGATTAGAGTTTGAAAACATTCCTTGTTGGTGAGGGTGTGGGGAAAGGGGCACTCATGCATTGCTAGTAAAAATTTCCATGGAGCCCTGGCTGGTTTGGCTGGCGGACTGAAGGATCACCAGTTCAATTCCCAGTCAAGAGCTTGTAGCTGTGTTGCAGGTTTGATCCCCAGCCCCCGACAGGGTTGTTTGGGAGGCAACCAATCCATGTGTCTTTCTCACATCAATGTTTCTCTCTATCCCTTCCCCTTCCTCCCTCTTTAAAAATTAATAAAAAGCCTGGCCGGTGTGGCTTAGTGGATTGAGCATCAGGCCATGGACTGAGAGGTCCCAGTTCAATTCCAGGTCAGAGCACATGCCTAGGTTGTGCGCTCGATCCCCAGTAGTGGGCGTGCAGGAGGAAGACCATCGATGTTTCTCTTTTATTGATGTTTCTATCTCTCCCTCTCCCTTCCTGTCTCTGAAATCAATAAAAACATTTTAAAAAATAAAATGAAAATCAATAAAAATATTTTTAAAAATTTCCATGGAGGTTTGGCAATATTTTTAAAAATATTAAAATGTATTTACTTTAACCTAGCAATTTCACATCTAGGAATTTATCCTATGTTCCTGCACATGTGCAAATGACATATCAAAAGATCCATTGCAGCACTGTTTGTAATAGCAAAATATTAGAAACTACCCAACATTCATTAATAGGTGTGTAATCAAATAAATCATGGCAGTTCCATACAGTAGAATCCTTTACAGATGTTTAAAAGGAGGCAACTTGCCCTGGCCGGGTTTGGCTCAGCGGTTAAAGCATCGACCTGCGGTCCTGAGAGAACCGGATTCGGTTCCCGCTAAGGGCGCGTGCCTCGGTTGCAGTTTGTCAGTTTGTCCCCGGCTCTGGTCAGTCGTGCGGGTGGCAGCCACTTGATGTGTTCCTTTCACGTCGATGTTTCTCTCTCTCTCTTTCTTCCTCTCTCTCCCTCCCACTCTACCTGAACAAAAAATGGAAAAATGTCCTCGGGTGAGGATTAAAAATAAATAAATAAATAAATAAAAGGAGGCAACTTGCCCTGGCCAGTTTGGCTCAGCAGTTAGAGTGTTGGCCTGCGGACCAGAAAGTCTGGGGTCGGTTCCCACTAAGGGCATGTACCTCAGTTGCAGTTTGTCCCAGGCCCTGGTTGGGGTCATGTGGGTGGCAATCACACGATGTGTCTCTCTCACGTCGATGTTTCTCTCTTTCTCTCTTATTCCTTCTTTCCCTCCCACTCTATCTGAAGATAAATGCAAAAATGTCCTCTGGTGAAGATAAAAAATAATAAATGAATGAATGAATGAATGAATGAATGAATGAATGAATGAATGAATAAAAAAGGAGGCAGCTCTATATCTACCGATATGAATCAATCTGGATGAAATATTTTAGTGAAAAAAAGCAAGTGTAAAAATTTAAAAAAAGAGCCTGGCTGGTGTGGCTCAGTGGTTGAGCGTCGACTCATTCACCAAGAGGTCACCAGTTTGATTCCTGGTCAGGGCACATGCCCAGATTGTGGGCCAAATCCCCACTGGGGGACATGCTGGAGGTGGTCAATCAATAATCATCGATGTCTCGCTCTCTTTCTCTCCCTCTTCCTTCCTCTCTCTAAAAATCAATAAAGAGAAAAAAATAAATATAGACAAAAAAAGACATAAATATTTGTATATGCATAGGATACCTCTGGAAGGTTATATAAGGAATTGGTACCAATGGTTGCTTCTAGGGAAGGAAATGGTATCAAGAGAAGAGGGGTAGAAGGCAGGCTTATTTTTATTGATTTCATTTTATTTTTTTTGAATTTTGTCTCACACATATATTATTGCTCTAAAAAATATATATGTATTTTAGCCCAGCTGGTGTGGCTCAGTGGATTGAGCACCTTCCCATGGACTGAGAAGGTCCTGGTTCAATTCTTGGTCAGGGCACATGCCCAGGCTGCAGGCTCGATCCCCAGTAGGGGACATGCAGGAGGCAGCCGATTGATGTTTCTCTCTCACATCGATGTTTCTTCTTCTTTTTTTTTAATTAAATTTTTTTAGAGAGAGAGAAACATCGATAAGAGAGAACATCGATTGGCCACCTCCTGCATGCCCCCCTCACTGGGGATTGGGCCCACAACCTGGGCATGTGCCCTGACCAGCAATCGAACTGGCAACCTCTTGGTGCATGGGTTGATGCTCAACCACTGAGCCACACCAGCCAGGCTCACATCGATGTTTCTATCTCTTTCTCCCTTCCTCTCTCTCTCAAAAAGCAATAAAAACATATTTAAAACAAATATATATGTACTTGAAATCAGAAAATTAGGTAGTTGAAAACTTACATCTCATTTATTTCTTTGGTTAGGAACAAGGCTGATTTATTCTTTAACATCTACTTTGTGTCTAAGAGAAGATATTTAGCTTCATTGATTGACAGTTTGTTTGAGAATTTAATTGAACGTTCTTTCTCTGACTCTGAGAGCCCACTGGAGTGAGGGGTGTGTGCTGTACAACTCCTGGTGCAGAAGCCAGGGGAAGAACGTTCTTATTCTCTTCTGCTGTGAGTTCTTGGCATGTACCTGGGGAAGCTGTAAAACAAGGGAAGCAGTAGACGATTGTGGGTCACATCCAGTTCTAACATTCTGTGATTCTATTATGTTTTATTTCCCTCCCATTCTGCAGTGGCAGGACCTCCACCTGAAGGAGAATGTCCCCCCTTCACTTTTGCTCCTGTCACGAACCTTTTACCTGATAGATGTGAAGCCAAAGCCAATTGAGATCCCACTAAGTGGAGAGGTGAGTCTCTCAAATGTCTTTCTATTGCAGTCAGAGTACGCACTTCTTTTGGTATATCTTCTGGAATTTGGCCCAACTGGCTTTAAAATCTTTTAAAAATTCCTAAGAAATATTAAAATTACTGAAACTACCTCTAACCCCAGCTTGATTTAGGAATGTTACTAGTAGGAGCCCAGTTTATTCTTTCTCATCAACCATCTAGTCTGCAGATGGTTTCACCACTTTCTCCTTTGAGTCCGAATGGTTCCTGCTCTATTATGTCTGTTTCATTGTCCAGATTCCTATTAATTTTCAAACAGTGAATGGCCAATCTAGAATGTAAATTTTTTGTCTTCTTTCTTTTTTTTTAATTTTTTATTTATTTTATTTTTTTTTTATCCTCACCGGAGGACATTTTCCATTTTTTGTACAGATAGAGTGGGAAGGAAAGAGAGGGAGAGAGAGAGAGAGAGAAACATCAACGTGAAAGGGACACATCGAGTGGCTGCCACCCGCACAACCCAACCAGGGCCGTGGACAAACTGCAACCGAGGTACGTGCCCTTAGTGGGAACCGAACCCGGGTCTCTCTGGACCACAGGCCAACGCTCTAACCGCTGAGCCAAACCGGCCAGGGCAATTTTTTGTCTTCTTTCTACAACTCATTTTATTAATCATTTTTTGTTGCCTTTAACTCAGCAGCTTTTTTTCTCCTGGTATTTTACTAAAGAACCTAGGATTGGCCCAAACACTAGAGCATCTTGCTCTGGGTCCATCAGAAAGGGACTCTCGCCTTTGTACTTTGTGGCTTCTTGTCTAACTCAGAACCTGCATGGGTGAGAAAAGGAAGAGACCTATAGAATATGCTGCACAGGTGGTTTAGCAGATTGGACGAAATACTCAAGTGAGGACCAACCATTTTAAATCTTAGTTATGCTGTTGACTCCTTGGACAAGTCAAGGAAAATTATACGAAGTCCAGCATGAAAAGTGCACTTCAGGAGACCCCCATCTTGCTTTCCCTTTGCGAGATGAATCTGGATTTGGGCTTTGCCCAGGAAGGATTCTAGGGAGACTAGGTAGGAACAATTTTTGAGCACAGACCATGTTCTGAAAGGTGGGCTATTGGGTTCTCTATCTTTGGTCTTCAAGACAGACCAGAGTTATCTGTTGTTCTTATACTGCACTCAGGAGCAGGAAAATCTTGGAATAGCACATTATCACAGAGCTAAATTTAGGTTCTTAGAATTACTGTAGATGGGCAGAAATTCTTTATCCAGATGTTATTTTCTAGGATGGTTCAGAAAGACCTAGGAATTAAGGACAAAATGACAAGCTCCTAGGCATTTTATTGGTGGTTGTTTTTTTTTTAAATCCACATTTTGAAACTTTTGTTCTCTATATATACAAAATGAGAACATGTAGCATGCTAGGTTCTGTAAAAACTTAGAGACATCAAGTTGAATATTCTATAATTTTGGATGTATGTAGCCCCGTCCCTCCAAAGTACACAAATAAATTACTTATTTCCAAAGAGCAGTGATATATTTATTTTTCAAATCTAATTAATATAATTCTTTTTTTTTTTTATCCTCACCCGAGGACATTTTCTCCATTTTTTGTTCAGGTAGAGTGGGAGGGAGAGAGGAAGAGAGAGAAAGAGAGAAACATCGACGTGAAAGGGACACATCGAGTGGCTGCCACCCGCACGACCAACCAGGGCCGGGGACAAACTGCAACCGCTCTAACCGCTGAGCCAAACCAGCCAGGGCATAATTAATATAATTCTTAAAGACAGGTTAGCTAGCTATTCTAAAATGCCACCTTTTCCCTCAATTTTCCTTGTGTTGCAGGAGCTTCTATTAAGTTGCACCTACCGTTTAAATAATTTTTATCATTTATTATTAGAAACCAACAATAATAAAGGTGTCAATTTTGACTAAGTTATATCAATGTCATTAGAAATAGATGAGTAATTGAGATATGGCAACTTATTTTATGAGACTAGAATACTATCAGAATTGGCAAACCAGTAGCTTGTTAATGACTGAGGATTTTAAATACTAGAATCTAATCAGGGTGCAACTCTTGCACATATAGTGTGCTCAAAACTGCAAGGTAAATAATACTAAGTTGATATTTCAGGGACATACTTCATATGTTACTCAAAAAGGGTATACACTTGGAGGAAGTTAGGGATTTAGTGGAAAGCACATTGTGCTGGAAAGCACTGACTACTTAGTGTGGAAGTGCTTCTGGGTTTCAGGAAGAGCAGAAAGTTCATGCTCACATAAATATCTCTCCTTAGGCTCCAAAGACTGATGTTCCCGTGACATCACCTACTTCTAAATCTAAAGAACTTGGTGGACTTAGCACCTCAACTGAAGGGAACTAAGGTTATACCATTACTTTTCATGTGATTAATTAGGTTAAAAAATGAAAATAAGTTAGTTTCTCTATTTTTAACCCCCTTAATGAAACTGAACTTCAATGATATTCTTTAATAAGGAATATTTGTTGTACTGTTTGCTCTGTTTCTAAGAAAATTCAACATTTGGCTGTATAAATTGGGTTCCAGGTTTTGCTTCTTGAGTTCTGTGCCAGAATGTGAAGTAGTTGTTACAGGTTCCTGAGAGTCATGGCTGTAGATCTCAAGCACATTGTTTAAAATCAGTAACCCAACTCTCAGTTCTGATGTTTAAGGATGAAAAATTTATGCAACTGCCACCAGTTACATCATCACCCAAAACACCATCGACACCTATTTCCTTACCTAATGGATCTGCCACTTCTGCTAAAGAAACGGTAAGTAGTATCTAAAAAAAGAAATTCTATTTCCCTCTAGTTCTTTTTAAGGGCAGTGAGAATCTAGAATCATAACTATTGTAAAACACTACACAGTTCTTCCTGTCATTCAAACAGGAAGTTGTAGGCTGAATTTTAGTCATCTTATACCACTACATTTTTAAACCCAGTTATCCAAAAGCGAAAGAAAAAAAAAAATCAACCAGTGCAATCGTGGATCAGACCTAAACATGTTAAGTCTAGAAGCTAATTACAATATAGGCAGATTCTTATTTTCCTTTATGCCAGATGGAAATAGTTCCCATATGTTGTGTATTTCACACAGGATTCATGTCAGGAAATACTAGCAAGAAAGCAATTTAAATCTTAGGAGAAATGCTTGTAAATGAGAAATTACTTATCTATTTTCCCCATTTGGGTAAAGGAATCTGGGGCAAGAGCAAAAAGCATAACACAAGTAAACAGTAGAGGGGTCATGGAAGAGCTGAACTGTGCAGTGTGGTTCTACTGGCTCCTGAGGACCAGAGTACCAGAGAACATGTAGATGGGGTCAACCAGAGATCTGGTGTGCATGTCTTTATTTTTATTTCCAAGGTAAACTATAAACTCTGATTTGATTTTGTGGTGTGTCATTATTTTGATTAAGAAAATCAGAAAGGGACGCCTGAAGAACTTACACATCTAATTGTGACCATGGCCTAACGTCCTTGTGTTTTGTACCTAGACGCTGCAGGCCAAATCACAGACGGCCCAAAACAGCAAGGCTAGTTCCAAAGGAGCATAAGGACCACTGGAGGATGAAGCTCACTCTCTCCAGCTTCCTGCCCTCAGCAGTGGCATTCATAAAGGATCTCCCAGCTAAGACTGTGTCAAGTTTGAGTAGAGGATCAGGGGCAGTCCTTAGAGGCCTTGTAAACATTCCAGATGATATCAGCAGAGAGCAAATTCAGACCATTTAGAAAAATATAATTGCAAAGCCCATTTCCTCTGTAACATTATGTCGTCCCACTAAACTTGGTCTAAAGCACCACCCCCTCCACCCCATGTTGTTTTGAACAGCTTCATATTTGTACCCATGTCCTTTAAGGGAGGAAATTTTTTGCATTATAGCCCTTAGATAATTCTGCCTGCTATGGCTTGGTAACCTGAGTAAGAATGTGGAATCTCCAAAACCATTGTTAAGAGCACCTGACCAACTTTTTCAGCGTGATTCATCAGTAGGAATAGAGCCCTGGAAACAAGGTACTTTATGAGATAGAATGGATACTCCCCAGTAAGGTCTTTCTGGATATAAAGAAAAAAACTTCTCGGAGAATAAAATGGGGAGTTAGACTGGCAATCAGAAAGGTTTGGCTGCTGCTTGGCTGTTGTGAGACTTCCCCTCTGGGCCTGCAGGAATCTGGGAGGCTGCCACGATTCTAGCACATATGGCTTTCATTAGCCACCATTTTGCTAGAAAACATAATTAAGGGTTTAAGACTTAACCATTTGTTTGTGCTGGGTGTGTGTTTTTCTGGTCTGTTTGTCTTTCACAAACAAGGCAATTTGTTAGTCATAGGGGTTGTTAAAGTCTGATATAATCCCTATGCTACCCAGTGACAAATATTATATCCAGACATTTGTTTTCTGTATTGTCAATACTGAAAAAAACAACGTAATAGATTGCTATGCAGCTGACCAACAGCCTTTTTCCCATGGGGAGTGCTTAGGAGGGAAAAGGTATTTTGGCCTGTGGGTGACAAAACTAAACTTCTTTACTTGCTGTGAAATTGAAAGCAGTTGGAATGGAATCAGTCAGACCAAGTAAAATGCAAATATCCTTGTCTGGGATCACCTAAATGAGGACTGTCATCAGCATTTCATAGGAAGGATATGTGCTTTTATAAGCTTCCTAAACCTCCTCCATCAGAGGACAAGCCCCACCATGTCCTGCTAATGAACTCCAGTTCCTTGAGAATAATGAATCCCTGCTATGCAGCATTCCATGGATCTCACCATTGGCTTAGCAAGGTGATTCATAATAAATTTTCCCACTTTTAAAATTATGGGTGTTTATTTTAATTAGTTCGCATTTCAAGTGTTGACTGTGGGAAAGGGATTAGCTACTTGTTGAAGCCTGTTCAAGCTGAATGATTCATATGTACTGTTGAGCTACAATCTTTCTGGCTTTCCATCTGAGCAGATGGGAATGGTTAGGTCGAGGGGCCCCTGGTCACTTTTGGCCCCAGTTGGCCTTTACCCTTTTTTTTTTTTTGCTTCAAAAACAGGCACCTAAGACACACGATACACCTCTCTTCCCATTCTTATGATGGTATCTCAGAGAAGTCAAAGTAGTTCCTTTGTTCTTATCACTTAGAGCACTTGGCTGTTGGGTTCCATGATTGTTAATTCTAGCCCCATGCTGAAACTGAGTTTAGTGGTGTTCTGGTAAATGATTAATAACCAACTCTGGTGGGGAGCCCTGATTTATAGCATTTGCAAACTCCAGTGATGTAAATACTCCCATATGGCTGATTTCAAACTACCAACAGGTCACTGAACAACAGTTGGGAAAAGTTGTACACAGTTGTCTCAAGAACCAGTCCCAGCACACTACTGACTCTAGCGCCTACTGACGTAACAAGAGAGAATTAAACCTCTAGTTGTTATGCTCATTAAATGCATCACTTCTGTGCACCAGAAGTGTAAATGGTTCTAAATAATGTTATGTACCAACCTAGAGAGAACTTGCCCAAGAGTGAGTCTTCTGAACATTTGGGTTCTTGCTGACCTTCCCTCCCTCTGGCTCCCATCAGCTGAAGGAATGGAAAGCTGGGCAAGGTTGCTACAAAGCTTTCTCCTTTCCCTGTTCTCTACTCTTCCCTGCAGATGCATATACTGTAGTGTATCAGGTGCTAATCTCACTGAGTATAATTTTAGGCATTTTCTGAAACCCAACCTGAGTGGTGATGTCAGACATGGCCTGTGTATTTTAGACATTGAGAATTCTACTCCAATAGAGGTGTTGGTGGCACTTGACATTCATAGACCTGCCCTTGTGCTGTCATCAAATAAATGCTCTGTAATGTCAAAACCTAGGCTAAAGATCTCCCACCAGTACACACCTAATGGAACTTCAAAGCAGACTGGCATATTACCTAATGTTGACCAAGATTTTGGGGTGCTGGCTCCTCCTAGTGGCTGCTGATAAACACAGCGACTTCAGTCACAGAGATGGATTTCTTGCTTCATCTGAGTTCCATCTTACTTACCTGTGATCAATATATTACATTAGCAGTACCAAGGGAATGATGATTCCCCAGTCTATGGCAATTAGAAAAGGCAGAAAGGCAGTATTGATTAATACTGTGGTAACCCCAGGCCCTAATCTTTTAACCCTCAGGAAACCAGACAAATTCAGTGCCTTGAAGCATGCCGCCTTCATTAGATAAACTGGATGCCTTTTCTCAGGAGACCCAATCTGGTCATCTAAGTAAAATGGCCATTTCATTTTCTCTCGGGTCAGTTTCACTATCTTTTATTAGACAGTAGCTCAGTCTCTGGGGAAATGTGTGGGTGATTTGAGTAGTAATAGCAAGGACATCACTTATAATAGTGCCTTATATTTCTCTAGTACCTCTCCCAAAGGTATATGAAGCCCTTCATAGATCTTCTGTCCATTTCCAAAGCATTGATTCAAGGGCCAAGGCAGGAATGATCATCACTATTTTTATAAGGAAAGACACTGCTATAAGGTCTGAAAGCAAATGTTTTTAAGGGCTAAAATTCATTTCCTGGCTCTGTTCACCAAATTATACCTTCATAATTAAACAAACACAAACTGTAATGTCGACAGTTGCATATTTACAGAGACACAAGGAGAGAGAACTGATTTACAACAGTAGCGGACACTGCTGCTGCCAGAAGGGGGGCTAGCTTAGAAAGGAAACTTAAAGCAGCAATCCCATTTTCCCTACAGAAATGGAAGCATGTTGAACTCTCTTTTGTATTCAGCCATAATCCCGCACAAAATCAAGCTTTGGGTCAAGGCTGCACAGGAGCAGGCTGAGCACTAAGTTCTGAGGAGCCAGGACGCACTTGGTGAGTGCAGCGATAGCCAGCAGGGGGCAGAAGTAAATTTCTAAGCAGCCCAAAAACAAACATTTAGAGAACTTTTTCCCTTTCTTGAAGGATGGGGTGGAGCTTGTACAGGAAGAACTATAGGAAGCCAAGATCTGTGGTAGTCCCGACACACGCAGTTTGATCACTGGATACCGAGGACTGGTGTGGGGGAGGACCATGAACACAGAGCTGGCTCGGAAACATGAAGCAAGGGACCTTAATGTAAACCTAGTCCTAGGCGACATGTTTCCCCTTCCACAGCAGCACAGGCAAAACCACACCCACAGAGGGGGTAGATGCATATCTGGGTTTGAGTTTCTCCATGCTCTTGTCGAAATAATCCTCAGCTTTCCTCCACCTCTTTAGCTCTACCCCTTGGCTATTCCAAGTAAGCCCCCAGCTCCCTCTCTGACCCTCTGACCTACCGGACCCCACCAGTTCCCCCTGAGGAAACGATTTGTGGTTAAGGGCTGCATGGGTTCATGACTTTGACCCAGCACCTTTGGTGCGCTGACAGGAGGTTCCTGCCCATTATGCAGATGTCTTCTTTTCCTGCCTTTCCAAAAAGCATCAGAGAGGTCAGAGGTGTGTCCAGAGGTCTCAGTACAGAACCTAAAAGGAAGAGGTTTGGAGGAAACTGCAGGGAATGTGCAGGGATCTCTGGACAGACACAGACCCAGGACCCATTATTCTTGCTCCGTTTCAGTTAACATTCTTTCCCTTGTCACACAGCCCATATAAAAATGAAGCAGCAGCAATTTTTATTTGAGGGACCTAAACTGAAAATAGGTTTAGAACATAATTTAAAAAAATAAAACAGCAAAAGTAGCAAAAAATATATGACCTTTTTAAAAACATTTTCCTTTTTTTTCTTTGTTTTTAATATATAGCAACTGATGTCTCCCAGCCACCAGGAGCATCTTACCCAATGGGTAAATCTCTGGTAACGACCCTTTTAAAAAGACATGTAAATATATACTCAGATTTATACACTTTGTGTTTTCTTCATAGCTATGTACAAAGCCCCCAGTTCGGGGCTGGGCCCCAGGGCCACGACACTGCTCCCAGCCTTTGCCTCCCTGTCCTCTGGCACCAGGAATTTGGTCAGCAAAGCAAATTAGTATCAGAATTAATAAGCCAATGGCACCATCTATCTGGAGCAGAGGTCGTTGCCGTCAACCGAGGCCCAGAGCAGTGACTTCCCCTCCCTACTTCTGTAGCCTTGAGGACGAGGCACCTGCCACCAGAACACAAGGGCTTACGGGTTACGGTGAAGCAGACAAAACCAACACAAGAAAGCGCAGTCAGCTCTCGCTTGCATGCCTGCTCAGCATGCTTACCTCCCGATCCCTACCCTCCAGGCAGTGCCAAGTGGCTGGGAGGGGCGGGGGGTCTTGGTCCATCATTTGGGAGGGAATGGAATGGCCATCAGCAAGTACCTGCCTCTCTGCTCCTCTCATAAGCAGGTTGAGAGGAGGAGGAAGAGAGGTGAACTCGGTGGGGTGAAGGCCTCAGGTGGGCAGCTGGCTCCTGCCAGCAGGAAAGGGCAAAGGGGAAGGCAGTGAGTCCAGCGGGGAGTGGTAGGTGAATTACAGCTGAAGACGGAGTTCAGGGAGGAGCAGTGCTGGGGTGCTAGTCAGCGTCGTTTGAGTCCGCCATTGGCAAGCTGGGCTGGGTGTCGGGGCAGACAGGGCTCCTCAGGCAACGGCTCGTGAGAGAAGACAGAATCCTCCCCTGAGGAGCAGGTGGAGCTTCGGGTGTCGGGAAAACTGGGAGAGTATTGGTCCAGGGGCATTGACAGGTCCAGATACTCCTGTGAGAGGAGACACAAAGGGACAATGGGTCCAGCACTGCCCTCCCCGCAGCAGTCTTAGTCCAGAGAGATGTACCTAACTGATGATGGGACGGCCTCACCTGGTTGGAGGTCAAGGCCACAATGCGGTCCAGGTCTTCTACCAGCTGCTTGAAAGTAGGTCTCTGAGAGGGTACTGCGTGCCAACAATCCCGCATCATCATGTACCTGCAGCAGGGTGATGAGGTCAAGGGAGGAAAAACAGGAGTAGAGAACTTAAGATTGTGGTGGGGGGACTGTAGGAGGAATGACCAAGAGGGGCCGTTTTATCAGCTAAGCACCCCTTTCTTCCTCTTCCCGTCAAACCCACTCTGCCTCCAGGGCCTAGCTCAGGACCTTGGGTATCCTCTCATGCTTACAGCTCGTTGGTGCAGTTGCTGGGCTTGTCCATACGATGGCCCTCCTTCAGCAGCTTGAAAAGCTCCTCCACAGGCACGCCAGGATATGGGGAACCTCCCAGAGTGAAGATTTCCCACAGGAGCACTCCAAAGGACCACCTGTGCACGAGCACAGAGCACATGGGCGTCGTGGGCACAGGACTAGGCGAACCTAGAGTCCCTTTCATCTCTTCTTCACCAGCATGGCAGATACTTATCCGCAACCCACCCTCCCCAACACAAATCCTTAATTCCAAGGGTAATACCAAGGGACAGTGCAGAGAACAGCCTGGCCTCTCCACTCCAAGGACCAAAGTAAATGGCTACCTACAATGTTTTGTTTTATTTTCTCTCTGAGATAGAAGGAGATCATCATCAATTCAGAGGGGAGGAAAGGACCCTATTGTACCAGACATGTTCTATCCCAAGTATCCCTGGCAATTGCCCATGTCAAACTCACACATCACTCTGGTGGGTGTAGATCCGGTCAAACAATGCCTCAGGTGCCATCCACTTCACAGGTAGTCGGCCCTGTGGGAGGAATGGCCAGGGTGGCCCAGGGCAGGGCAATGAGGGAATGAGGGTACATGAGGAACTGGGCTTGGGAAGTAATGCACGTATTCAGCTCATCCCACCACACTGTTGCTCAGACAAAGCATGAGGAGTCTACGTGGAAGAAAGCCTAACACAGCAGAGTCCTGGGCAGAGGACATGTACATAGTGGCCTTGTCAGCACTTACATTGGTCGTCTTTTTATAGTAGTCAATGTGGTGAATATCCCGAGCTAGGCCAAAGTCTGCGATCTTCATCACGTTGTCCTCCGTCACCAGGACATTCCTGGCAGCCAGGTCTCGGTGTATGCACTGTGGAGACGGGAGGAAGAGATGGGAGACCGGAGGGTGGCATGCAGGTGAGGGGCCATAAGGCTCTAGGGGTCGACAACTGTAGACATGTATCAATGTCCAGCTGTCTGCGTCTGTCCTCCAGCACTCACTCTGCAGCTGACAGGCAGCCCAGTTACCTCAGGCCTTCTCCTGCCACACCACTCACCTCCTGAACATTCGAGTTCCCTGCTAGAGGGTTCCTCTTCTCCACTTCAAACGTAGCCATCGAAACATTTCCAGCTCCAGCCTCTCACACACTTTAGCAAAGCCCCCATATCTGCCTGCTCTCCTGGTCCTTCCAACTCTCAGCTTTGGATTTGCACTAGAAGGCTAAACCACTGTCCTTCGTCCAGTCTGTGCAGGTGTGTGCTTGCAAGCCTGGTCTCCCCAGGCTCAGCACAGCTACATTGAGTTGGGGCCCAAAGCCAGCATTTACTGAGCATCAAAACTGTCCTGAACATTCTCACACTTCATTTTACTCTACAACCATTTTTATTTTATATTTGAAAAAACAGAAATAGAAAATGTTCAGTAGTGCCTGAGGCTACTCGGAGAGTAGCAGTGTACAGATTTGAACTTAACCCAGTCTGACCCCCAGGCCATACAGGTTCTACTGGCTCTCCTGACCCTGAGATGTCCCCTGAGAGCCTAAGACAGCACATATGCTCAGTATGTCTACCATCCCAACAAAGGACAGAAAGTCATAAGCTGGAGCACGAGGAGGGCTCTGTTCCCACCCTGACGGCACCAAGGGGTGCTGTACCTTCTTGGAGGCAAGATACTCCATGCCTCGGGCCACCTGGTAGGCACAGGATACTAGGTCCTTGGAGGAGAGCTGCTCCTCTGGGTTGTGGCTGGGGTTGTAGCAGTATTCTAGCCCGGGAGGCCTCCGGGCCTGCAGGTACTCCCGAAGGTTGCCCTTGGAGGCATACTCCACGATGACATACAAAGGACCTGGGGTGCGTGGATGAAGACACCATCAGGGCAGGCAGGCCAGTATGCAGGTTTCGCCTCAGCTGGCGAAAACCCTGTCCCAAATGGCACAACTCCCCTTTACGGAACCAGAGAAATTCATTCACCACTCAAAGCAAGTCAGGGAAATAATTCTTCCCAGCATAGGACAGAAAGTTCCTCAGCAAAGTTGGGGTTAAGAGTCCTAATCTAGACCACATTTACTACTCCCCCCTCCCCCATTCCTATCCATACACTGTGTCTGTGAATCTAGGTACCTGTATTCTCTGATGAATACCAATGAGCATCAGCCTAGACCCCAAGAGATACATCCCCATATTACTACTAACCCTGCGCCTCCTTACCCCGCGCTCCCCTAGCATGGCTGACAGATGCTTGGTCACCAATACCCCAGCTCACTACCTTCTCCCTGACAGATACTATTATGGGAGCAGCAGGTCCGAGTTCCCATCTGAGACCCAGAAAGCTGCCTGTTCAGTGCCTACCATCCTGCGTGCAGGCCCCCAGCAGGTTGATGATGTTCTTGTGCTTCCCGATCATCTTCATCATCTCCATTTCTGAAATCAGGTCTGACAGGTCTTTCTCTGTTGCGTCCGCTTTGCACACACACGAGAGAAGGGGACAAGACTCATTTACTTTGGAAGGGAGGGCGACAGGAGAAAAGCTAAGGGATGGGAATGAGGTGAGGTGTATGCCTTAGGAGTCCCTTTTCTCCTCCCCGTTCATGTCCCTCTCATGACAGCTGTTGTTGAAATATGTGGCAGTGAGTGGGGCAGAGGATACGGGAAGGAAAAGCAGCTATCAATGGAATTTAGAATAAACACCTGACCGCAACCAGGCTGACCCCAGGTCATGGCAATCTCGGGGGCAGAGTGCCCCCCTCCACTCCCAGGCAACGCTAAGAGGCTGGGTAGCAGGTGTGGGAAAGGAAAGAGCACTAGAGAGGGTGTTCCAAGTGTCAGGCCCACAGTTTGCTTGACAAGGGAAGGAATCATTTTCACCAGGACAGAAACATCACTTACACTTCAACATCTTCACAGCCACTTTGGTCACACGGTTGGGTTTGTCCTTGTCCAGGCCAATGGCCTCTGCCAACACCACCTGCCCAAAGCAGCCCTCTCCTAGGGGTTTGCCTAAAACCAGTCTTCAGGGAAACAAAAGGTAGTGTAAGATGGGGCTGGTGAGGTTCACACCTGGAGAGGACGCCCCATCTACACCACTCTGTATTTCACCCCACTATGAGCAGAAAGTGGAAATTACGTCTGGATATATCTGGTGCACCTTCACTCCCTAGGCCTCGGTACACACAACTCCCACCATCGAATAACAAGCGGGGGACTTCCTCACAAGGTGAGAGCATTACCTGTCTCGAGGCAGCTCCCAACGGGGGTCTTCGGGAAGCTCATATTCAGAGACCCCGGCCAGCATGGGGGTTCCACTGGAGGACAGGCGTGAGGGCCGAACGAGCAGAACCCCAGAGTTCATGGACGCGCTGGAGTCAGCTGACACCTACAGGGAAGCGTGAGGTCACCCTTCTAGCAAGGAGCGGGGAGTGACGCAGACTCCCCCAATTCCAAGTCAGGGATTCTCACCAATGACAGAGGGGTGTATTTGTCACCTGATGTCCCTCCCCCAGCACAGAGTGGCAGGAAGCCTGACGTTCTAAAGCCAACTTCTTTTTGCCACCCACTAGCCTTACTGGGCTTCAGTTTACTCTCCTTTAATACAAACAGACTGTACTCACTTCTCCCAAATGGACAAAAATAACCACTGTAACTTCATCTCTATCTTGTCCTGATTCTTTGAAAACCCTGCCTCCGATTATGGGTGCCTACCTCCCAAGGCACCTCCCAGAGTTAGCCTAGTTCTGCATGAACGTCCCCTCCTCTTACAGCCTTCACCTTCTGTTCCAGTTCCTTGGAGGACAGGAGGGTGGGCACAAAGGAGAGAGGGCACCTTGGGACCCAAGTCAGGTCCTCCTCTCCACACGGTTTCTTTGCACCTCTAACTGGCTCTTAGGGAATAGTTTAAACGGGCAGTATTCAATGCATGTTCACCTAAGCTAGGCCCCAATCCATATGCCAGGCGAGCAGGGGACTTGTAGTAGTTGGGGCATGGTGCGTACATGGGGTTCATGGGCTGGGAACCTGACGCTGGAGAATGTGGGTCAGGATTCCACTGCTCCTGGCCCACAAGCCAGAAAGCAAAGCTGGAGGCAGTAGGCTGGGGGCAGTGGAGAGGAAGGGAGTTAGGAGTTCCTGGAGAAGCCCCAGGGCACAGGGAGGAGGGGTGCAGAGTGTGCAAATCCCCTATCTACTTTCTGTTACCTGTCTGCGCAGAGGGATGCTCTTGGCCAGCTTGTGCACGGCCATCTGGCTGTGGAAGTCGCTCTTCTTGGTGCCACTCTTCATCTTGTAGATGATGACAGAGCCCACCATGCAGGAGATGAGGAAGGCCCCTGTGCAGTAGATGATGATCTCCAGGTACAGGGGCGAGGTCATCACTGCGGGTCTCTCTTCCAGGGCTGAGCCAGTGTGAACAGGGTGTTAGCAAGCTTGGGGGGCCCAGCCCATTAGGGTCCCTAGCTCCTAGCTCCATAAGAAAAACAACATCCATCTCTTTTCCTCTGGGGAGCTTTAGGGCAGAGAAGAATCCTCGATAGCACTGGGGTTCTGGCACTGAGCAGATCAGACATCTTGTAATCCTTGAGGCTTGCTGATCCTGACCCGAACCCTCCGAGAGAGGGGGACTAGAACTACCTTGCTACGTGTGGCCCATCCTCATTAATTCAAAAGCCCTCCTTGCTCTGCTGGACTGCTGGGCTAGACGGGTACCAGGTACCCTGCAAGGGACCGGTGAGAAGTCCCTTCTGGGTGCCTTTCTCAGCTTCCTCATGGAAACGTGTGGCCCTTCTCTGCAGTGCCTGAGCACTGCATGGACACACCTATCACACGGGGACAGGACAACCTCCTCTAAAGTCTTTGATGGTCTGAGAGTGGAGGCGGCACCTTGTTTACATCTGCAGTCCAGTGTCTGGTGTATAGTGGTGCTCGCAGAGTGAGGACAACGGAGGGTGGGAGGAAAGGGTGTGTCTGTGTTCTGACTTCATACCTCACACCTTTCACCTATGTTGTCTGTCTCAGGTCAGATGTGTAAATATTTACACCTAGCAAACAACAGGCAAAACTGACTAAATTTCCAAACATGTCTGGACTGCTAGAGATGAAAAATGCAAATGTTTCTGCACTTCTTAAGAACACTACTCACAGCCCCTAACTCCTAAAACTGAAGAAGGAAATGGGGCGGGGTGTCCTGTTTTATTCTATTCTCCCACCGTCCACTTAGAATTCACCCCGTTCCCACAGAAGTCCATCCACTTAATCCACCGTTCCTTCCCGCACGAGAGAATGGGAGGGTTAACGTCCAGCAGTCAGAGAACACTCCATCCCACCAGTGTGAACATCCCTCTCCCTTCCACAGCCCTCCTCCCAACCCTCCCCTTCAAAAACCCCAGCCAGCCACAGAGGCAAGCGCCCTGGGGACCTCCCCCAAGAGGCACTGAGTGGGACCTCTACTGAGCCCCGGAGAACTGCCGGGGCCTGACAAGGAGACTGCAGAGCTGATAACAAGGAGAAGTGTTTCTGTTTTTCTCTTTCCCCAGTGCTGAGAAACGAAGACAACTGAATGGGAGCACACACAGACACAGACAGTGACAACGACAAAAACAGAACGCTTCTCTGCCTTGAGCAGGGGAGTTATCAGACTCTGCTGGGCAAGCTGGGCGGAGGAGGAGGGAGAAGAGAGGGCAGTGTCAGCAGTAACAAGAACAGCACAGCACCCAGACCCACATGCAGGACCCTCAGAGAGGCAGCGGCACCCAGCCCCAGTCCTGCAGTCACCAGCCTACCACCCTGAACAGGCTGCAGGCTCCTTCCTTCCCGGCCCAGCACACAGACCTCCGCTCTTGGGAGAGGCGATATGTCAGTAGTTAGAGGATAAATGGGCACCATCCAGTCTCCTGTGGCTAGGCCTTCCTCGGCTCATCTGCTGGTCTGGGTGGAACCTCTCCTGAGACCAGAAGACGGCCGCACAGGAGGGTGGGCTAGCATGGCTAGCAAGCAGCAAGCCCCTCTTTAAAGTGCCTGCATTCAGTTAGAGGAGGTGAGGGGCTGGCCAAAAAGAACCAGACAAGTCAGGGACAGCTGCTGGATCCACGGATGGAAGGAGCCTGCCCGGACGAGAGCCCGGCTAAGGTTAAATCCAGATCTCTTGCATGCATTACATTGGCCCAGGGGAGAGCCAGAGGCAGGTGTAGAGGTGGGGGGCCTCCGTGTTCCTGCAAACAAGGACAGCTCCTGGGTGAGCCTTGAGGAATTGACCCTCGAGGTTGGACAAATTGCTGGAGCTGCCCACCGGCCCATGGAGCCCATTCCTCGACCTCTCTTGGCTCTGGGTCTCCCCCAACCCCGCAATGCATGGTCCCCCCGTGCCCGTGGTGAGGGCAGGACATCGAGAGGAGAAGTACAGTGTATACCTTCCAGAACGGTCAACCATGCAGAGTGATGGGAGAGTCCGATAGAGTTACCCGCCAAGCACGTATACTCCCCCGCGTCCTCAAAGGAGACATTCCTTAAGTGAAGCACTTCCATCTCTTTGTCGGTGGTATTAACTCCAGCAGTCTAGAAGAGACAATGGAAGCAAAATGGACAAGCACAGGACATGAGACCTCTAAGAGACACAGAGAAGGAGAGGAAGAAAGAGGGGGTGGATAACCCCAGGAAGAGATGCTCCCCAGTGTCTCCTTTGCAACAACGAACAGACAACACCACCAGGCAGCGAGACCTGTTAGAGGAAGAGAGTGAGGCCCTGAGGGAGGAACTCCGGGCGGACCTGAGACGACGAGGGCTGGTTACGACCCTTCACCAGACGCTGGCAGCCCCTGGCCCATCCAAGCATGCGGGCAGTGGGCAGCATGGAGAAATGGGGCCCAGCGGGTGGGGGAGCTGTTTGGTTTCAGGTAAAGAAAGTCAGAGGGCACGCACAGGAGGATGGAAGGGTGCCGCAGTCTCTCTCGCGTGCGCGCTCACGCGCGCACACACACACACACACGGCCTGAGGATGGTGGTTTGCAAGGGAAAGCCTGGTCCCTTCTCATATCCACCACTCACACCTCCAGTCTGCACTATTATAATACAGCAGGACTGTCCCCGTGAATGCACACACAGCCAAGGGACACACAGAGGGCACAGAGGGAGCAGACACCAACACAGTACCAAACCAAACCAGCCTCCCAGGCCGGGTATTTTTCCATGGCTCTGGGCACTAGAAATAGAGCAGGATAACAGGGAGAGTTGGGTGCTGGCTTCCCCACCTGCCCCAGCAGCTTGGGGGCGAAATCAAACTCCCAGCACAGGGCCCCATCCATCTCCCCATTACCTTTTGCCACAGGTCTGGTGACAGTGAGCCACGCAGACTGGTTAGCTTCACCAATATAATTGGAAACCTTACACACATACTCCCCGCTCTGGGCCTCTGTCACATTGAACAGGGTCAGCACTTCCGCATCCGAGCTATTAATCCCCGAATGCTGGAACAAACCAACGACACGCCAGTCAGTTGGGCAAACACTGAGATGTGGCCATACTTTGCTCCCATGTAACATAAAGGCAGGGAGCTAAGGCAGCAGAGACGTTAAGTGAGATTTATCATCCTTCCCTTTTCGGGAGGGCAAAATAAGCTGTCTTCAAAAGTTCAAAGTATTTAACTGCAAAATAAACTAAAGAAAAAAAAAATTCCCCAATCAAATGTTGTTTGTACTGAACCCCCTCCTCCAGGACTAGGGCAGAGATTGTGAATGGCTGGTGACAGTGGCCAAGGTCCAAGGCCACGGCCCCATTTCCCACACCGCAGCTTCAGCACCGGTAGTGAAGAGAAGGGATGGCCAGTAAATCTTTGGGACAGCCAAGCGAGGGGAGGATGAGGTCTAACTCTGGGACCAGGAGGTAAACCACTTTCCCAGCTTCTGGTTACTTCCTGTTGCAAGATCCACTGGAGAATTAGGCAATTACCTTCCCTGGATTAATGGAGCATTCAAGGACAATCAAATGTCTGGGAGTGACAGGAAAAAGGAAGAAAATGCCATTACTCCTAATACGGCTCAGAATTCACCTGTGGCATTTGGTACTTCAACTCGACCTAAGCCGTGCCCTTATCATTCACCCCACTTGCCAGAAAGAACGAGACTTGGGAAACAGGACCGAGACTGGGAAATACTTGCTGGAAAGGCTTTGGCCCTAAGCAATGGAAAAGCAGGACTCTAAAAGCCTTTCTTGAGTAGTTGACCCCAAAGTCTGAGCAAAGTCACTCTCAAAGCTCTTTAGAAACCAGCAATGCCCAACCACCTCCCATCACACCTCTATTCTGTGACCCGTCACGAGTCCTGGAGAATGTGGCCGGGTCCCTATTTAAGATGGAGCATGTGTGCCTGAAGGGTAAAGGATGAGTCCCAATCCTGGGCACTGAGCCGGACCACAGCTACTTGGATCCCAGGAAATACTGGTCTCCTTCCTAGCACCCAGCCCACGGAGACTGGGGTCATGATTACCTTCAAGATCTGGACATAAGGCAGGTTGTCCGGACCAATCTTACTCCCATTCACCTCGATGTGCTTTAGCCACTGGATGTGGGGCTGTGGGTCACTGTACACCTTACACATGAACTCCACATTGCTGCCCAGAGCCACAGTCTTGTTGGCAGGCAACCCTGCCTGCAGGATGGGCCGGTGGGGGGACCGCTCTGTGGAGGAAAGGAGAGGAGAGCTTATCAGGCCCTGTTATGGCCTGCTGCTGGCTGAAATGCTGACAGCATCCCAAAGAACACAAAGAGAAGTGTACTCCCCCCTCGACTTTCCCAGTGATGGGCAGTGCACTGCCCAGCAGCTCTGCTGAGCTCCTTGTACCTGAGCTAGGAGAGGGGCCACCTTCTCACCAGGCCCTAGGCTATTAGGAACCTCCTCCCCAAGGCAAGGCCTCCATATTTATAGGCATAAGAAGTTTCTCTTGCCTTCATGGAGAGCCCCATAATTAAGCCACACCCTCAGACCTCAGCACAGCCTACTTTTCCTTAACTAAAATTACAGAGTCACTCAGACTCTTGCTGTTAAAAGTGTGGTCCAAGAGAAGCAGCCCAGCATCACCTAGGAGCTTGTTAGAAAGACCGAATTGCAGATCCTACCCCAAACCTCCTGGACCAGAAACTTCTTTTTAGACCATCTCCTCAAAACCAAGACAGAATGCTGGCTACAAAACTCTCTACCTTAAGATCCCTAGCATGGGATTCAGGTCTAAGAGGAACAGGTTGTAGTATCAGCACCTCGTGTCTCATGCAATGCCCTGGAGTCAGCACAGGCCTGGGGTTCTGACCTCCCTGAACCCCAGTGTGCTCTTCTGTATAGCGGGAACAATAGTGCCTGCCTTGCAGGGGTGCAAGGAGAATTACAGGTGATGTGTTTGAAGTGCCTAGCATGCTGTTGACATTCACGAAGCACTCACTACTATTATGCTGAATTTAACATCACTACTCCAGTCACCTCTTGCAGGAGAGACTATCAATAGCACCTTTCACTTTACAGTGAGTCATAGCACTATCTGCTCCTCTCAACTCTATTTACAGATAAATGAGGCACAAAAGAGGAAAGTGACCTGCTTAAAGTGACAGAGCTACAAAATACTTCCACCACCCTGACTCTACCCCTAACTAAACCCCACGGCTGTTTTCTCAATGTCCCTGCTCTCTTTCCTATAAGTTCCCATTCTGGCTGCCATTGGCGTTCTTACCCACAACATCAAGCTGGTAGGTGTGATTAATGCTGCCATACTCGTTTTCCACAATGCAAGTGTAGTTGCCCTTATCAGAAGGCACCACGGAGTCCATTATGATGCTCCAGGTGGCATAGCGGACCTGAGGGGAAAGATGCCAAAGGGCTCTGTTGAGGGTCTGGAGGAAAATGCAAGCAGAAGCTGCATGGTGGAATGGCGCCCTGTGGCACCCACCCTCCAATCTGAGTGCAGAACACAGCCCATGAAGCACCATGAGACAGAACAAGGCTCCATTTGCCCACCCCCAGCCCGTTCACACTCTGAAAGAACACATCAGACAAAAGTTGGGTGTGAGGAATTCTGGACGTCTGCTCGCAGCAGCGAAGGCCACGGTGGCCTGCACAAATGTGCCTTCTGCACTCTCCCAACGCTGCTCCATCTGAGCTGTCCCTGTGCTGCACGGGCTGCCTGCTGAGTCTGGCCCTGCCTGCCCTTGATGTCTCACTTCAAAAACCAGAGAGAGCCTCCAGCCCAATCGGCGGTCAGAATTGTTCTCACTGTCCTTCTGTACCTCTAAAGAAGCACAGATCACAGCCTGCCTTTTTGTTGTTGTTGTTAACTCTCACTTGAGGGTATTTTCCCCATTGATTATTAGAGAGTGGAAGGGAGAGAGAGAAACATTGACGGGAGAGACACATCGATTGGCTACCTCCTGCACGCACCCGGCTGGGGCTGGGGATCGAACCTGCAACCCAGGTACGTGCCCTGGACTGGGAATCAAACCCGAGACCCTTTGGTGTGCAGGCCAACACTGAATCACACCAGCCAGGGCTATCTCAGCCTGCTCTTAATGGCAGTGCTCGTGGACTTCTGCCCTCTTGTGAGACTGGGCTTCTTCACGGGCAGGAATGCTGCCTCGCACCACGCACAGCAAAGTGCCTTGCACACAGCAAGTGCCTGGTGGGTTCATTTGAAATGTTCCCCTATTTCTTCTGATCTCCTCTGCTTTTCTTAACAAGATTAATGAGAAAAGAGCAGCTAGGTGAGATGGGAGAGAAATGGGGACTGGATAATCAGAAGCTCTAAAAAGGAGATTTCAGTGAAGATGTCCTTCCTACAATGCAAATGGGTACAGAACATGAACAATTTACACAACAGGAGATGGAAACTGTTTAACATAAGGAAATGGAAACTGTTTAATATAAGGAAATGGAAACTGTTTAATATAAGGAAACTCCAAGTCTGTTAACAAGTAAAATAATGCACAGAAGAACAGTGAGATATTTCCACTTTTCAAACTTGTTGGCGAAGATGTAGTGAGCTGATTCTCATGCTCTGCTATGAAAGAGCGAATTAATTTTTCTCTTTAAGAAATTGTTACCACAATAAAAATTTAAAAATAAAATAAAACTACACCCAACTCATTACCCACATCATCCTCCATTTGACCAAATATCACAGTAAAACATTATAAATGTCTTCCCATTGTACTTGGAACTCTCTCTTGCTTAGAATACTTTCTGGAAAGATATGCGTTCAAGAAATGTTCATGGAATAAATGAATTAGTGAATGAATAAATAAAATAATCTAATTATCAGGAAAAAAATTAACTAGCAATATGCATCAAGGGCTAAAAAAAATGCTAATCCTCTGAACTAGTAACTTCACTTCGAGAAATCCATTCTCAAGAAGAACATTTAAAAATGCTGACAAAGCCCTGGCCGGTTTGGCTCAGCGGTTAGAGCATCAGCCTGCGGTCCAGAGAGACCCGGGTTTGGTTCCCGCTAAGGGCACGTACCTCGGTTGCAGTTTGTCCCTGACCCTGGTTGGTCATGCGGGTGGCAGCCACTTGATGTGTCCCTTTCACGTCGATGTTTCTCTCTCTCTCTCTCTCTCTCTCTCTCTCTCACTCTATCGGAACAAAAAAATGGAAAAATGTCCCCGGGTGAGGATAAAAAAAATGCTGACAAAGATTTAAGCATAAAGATATTGTGATATTAATTATAATATTGAAAAAGTAGAAAACAACTAATAGTACAAAATACTTCATCAAATTATGGGACGTTTTAATAATAGAATGTTATGCAGTCGTGAAAAGTTAGCTTTAAAACACATGGCAAGCCCAGCCAGTGTGGCTCAGTGGTTGAGCATCGACCCATGCACCAAGAGGTCACCAGTTTGATTCCCGGTCAGGGCACATGCCCAGGTTGTGGGCCTGATCCCCAGTAGGGAATGTGCAGGAGGCAGCCAATTGATGTTCTCTCTCATTGATGTTTCTATCTCTCTCTCCCTTTCCCTTCCTCTCTCTCATAAAATTAATAAAGAAAAAAAAAAAAAAACATGGAAAAAGACTCATGCTATGTTAACATGTGACATGATAAGTACATACACATTGTAATTAACTACCCAAAAACCATAGCCACAGAAAAAAGACCGAAAAATTCAACTTTATTTGCACATTTTTGTATTTGAGATTTTTCTAACATGTATTACTTCTATAGTTAGCATTATTTGAAACAAGTAAAGGCACATAAGGATTTCCTAGGTCAGCTTCTCCCGTTCCTCTATGCTAACGTTCACATGTCCACACGTACCTTGTAGCCTCCAATCCTGTGGTCAGGTTTGAATTCTTTGCCATTTTTCAACCAGCGCAGTGTGGGGTTAGGAGTCCCACTAGAAGGGCATTTGAATTTGACTGTCTTGGCAGCTGGCACTGCGTGCAGTTTCTTTTCCATCTTTTCTGGGGACGTCCAGTATGGAGCCACGGCTACCCAGGAAAAGCCAAGAGAGACAGGCAGGGGGCTGGTCAGGCTCAGGAGCAAGGGCCCAGGCCAGAACCTGGCGGCATCCTGCCCACCTGCCCAACACCTGTGAACAATGCCTGCACTGATCAGGATGCCCATGGGATCTCACTGCCAAGCCTCGTCACCCCAGGTGCCTGCTCCCCCTCCCGTTCTCCAATCACCTGAGCTCCCCCTTCCCACCCAAACCCAACAGCCACACCCAGAGGGGCAGTAAGGTAGGAAACAGTGTCTCACGCATACGGTTTGGTTTGGTGTTATCTGTCTCTTTCTCCTCTGAAGAGGAGTCATCATCGTCATCGTCGTCCTCCGAGGAGGGGAGAGCATCTACGAGAAGGAGAAGGGGCACTGAGGTCCCTCCAGGGGAAGAGAGTTCTAGATTTCCATCCATATCAACAGCCCCTAAACATAAAGGCCAGTCCAGTTATAGATGAACACAGACACCTTCCCCACACCGACTCCCAGGCCTACTCTTCCCTTAGTGACCTTCTCTCAGTGGGACAAACACAGTTCATGAAGAACTGCATTCTCTAAGCTTGTCCCTGTCCCTTCCCAACCTAATGCCCTGCCCCTCTCTGCCCATAGCTCTTCACACCTCACAGGGGCAGCGGGCCCTCTTTAATTTAATACCACCCTACATTCAGAGGCTCTGTCCACTCATGGTACCACCAGATGTGCTGGGTATCAGAACTAGCACTCAGGGAACCTGTATCCTCCTTTGGCCTGCTGACCATGGGAGATCCAGACAGATCTAGACACACTGAGGCCAGAAGCTATTTCCAAAGCCATGAGCTGAGCAACTAACTTAGAGTCAGAATTTTTCAAGCATGCATCTGCTAAGGTTTGGAAGCTGCCCTTTAAGTCAGAGCAGATAGGGAGCCTACTACACAGTCTGCAGCTGCCAACACCTCTCCCCAACAAGTATCCACCCCTTTTAAGAGGCTTGACACATATGTTGTCACCAATCAGGGCGGATGCCAGATCTTTCTCCAGTCCTTCCTAGTGCTTTTGGTGGTCTGGAGGGAAATAGAGGAGGCAAGGCCCTGTTAGGGGCACGTTCTACAGGACGCCCGAGTGGGGGAGGTGCCAAGCACACACTGACATTCACAAATGGCGTAAAGGAAATTTCAGCTCTAGTTCGTTTCACCCTGCTTTTGTGAAAGTTGCATTTAAAAGTGGCAGATTCCCAAAGTCACAGAGCTCTAGGGTTCCCTGGCTGCCCTAACACTGCTCCAGAAGCTGGAGGACAGATGTTTCCCATAAACCCTGTGGATATGGCGGTGCACCTGGACCCTTCCCCACCACAGGAGGGACCTCACAACTCTCCTGGGGCTATAGTCACTAAACCAAGTACCAAGTCCGAATGGCAAGGGAATGACAGGGCGGAAGCTGGCTGGGCCCTATGTAGCACCCTGGAGATCTGGGCAAGCTGCGGTGGAGAAGTCAGTGTTTTACTGCCCCAAGAGGACCAGCAGTCACCTCCGAGGTAGATCTGGGAAGCCTGGGGCCCACACCACCTGGTCACCCCTCTGAGAGCTAAGCCACGCGGCGGGCAGGGAGCAATGTTAGTGGGCAGCAGTTTCTGAAGCAGAATGGGGGCAGATCATGGAAGAGGAGGTTCACCTCCCCCCTGAGACTAGCAGAGAGGGTTGGAGGGGGGATCCAGGGAGAGGGTGAGGGCAGGGCTTTGCTACCAACCTGAGACATTGACGGAGAAGTAGGTGGTGTCGCTGCCTGAGGGGCTGCTGGTCACGCAAGCGTAGAGGCCGGAGTCAGCGGGCACAGAATCCCGCACCTCCACCTCCTCCCCTGTGATGCGGGTACGGTTGCTTTCCACCAGCTGTACCCCGTCCCGCAGCCAGTTGATGCTCTGGACATCATCCCGCAGCCGACAGCGGAGCTGCAGCAGGTCACCAGGGTGGACCAGGAAGGACTCCACTTCCACAGGGGCTCCCCAGGGCTGGGCTGCAGCCACCCATAGGGGCCGGGAAGAGGAACCAAGGGACAAAGGGATGGGGGAGGAAGAGAGGGAGAGGGAAGGAGGGGAGAAACAAAGGGAGTTATGCTAGAGGCACTGAGCTGCCATATCCCAGGGGCCACAGGGCTGGGGAAGGGGGGACTGGAATATGGGTCAGTTGGAAACGGCTGGCTACCTGGGAACAACCCCCATCTCCTCCTTCTCTACCCCTATCCTCCAAAGGTCAAAGGAAGAAAGAGGCAAAGTTAGGAAGCAGCTGCAGCAGCATTAAGCGTTCACATTTCATTTCCCTCCATCCTAGGGGGATACGGCCGCCCTCCCCAGGACTTCTGTGTCCAGAGTGGCCCCTCCCCATACACTCAGCTCTTTGCCAAGAATGGTCACTTCCCAGAAAATACCTCCGTTTCCTTTTGGTTAGGACAGCCTCACCCCTTTACCCCTTTCTCCAAGTAACAGTTGACAAACCCACCCCTCAAAAATCCAGCAACCCCCATCCAAGTTGAGAGAAGGCAATTCGTCAGCCAGGCAGCTCTCGTTCAAGTGACTGGGGGGGCGGGGCTGGCCCCCCAATGAGTGAGATGCATCAGATGCATATGGGGGAGAGACAGCCCAAGCAGAGGTCAGCTCAGGGGAGCCTCTAGCGAACAGGTGTCGGGCCAGAGGACTCGGAGCTTTTGCCTATATTAGGAACGGAGGCCTGCAGCTGCCACCAAACCCACACTTGTGCTGGCAGCCTAAGCTGGTGCACACAAAGCTCTTTTCTCCTCACCCTACTGCAGGGCTGCCCCCTCTTCAGCCCCCCACCTTCCTCTCCTTCTGCTATCCCCCAACACACATGTCCAGTCTCCCTCACCTCTTTCCCTGGAGCTGGGGTGGTTCACAACTCACAAGATCTGATGGGACCTGTCCACGCATCCATCCCTCTCTCGAACAACTACTCCGCACTCACACTAACAAGACAGCCTGAAGCCGGACACACTTAGGGGTCCACCATGCTGGGCTGATACCCGTCTCCTGAGCACCCCCTTTTCACTCACCAGGGGGAAATGCAGACTCAATTTCCCTTTAGGAGGTTCAGGGGTGCTCCCGGCATCTTCTGCCAAGTGTCCATCCAAACCAAAGAAAGGGCTTGTTGCAGCTCAACCCTACCTCCTGACTCAGTCTCCACTGCTTTGGTTCCCCATCAGAGGCTCACCTGGGACTCCTCACACCCCCTGGCCTATCGCCCTGCAGGGCTCATGTCTCTACCTAGCTGTCTCCACTCACCCTCCAGGTCTCAGCCCCGCTGGTAACTCTGCCTCAAAGCCTTTTCCGACTCCCAGTTGGGGTCAGGTGCTCTCACCACACCTGTCACACTGAAGGAAAGCCCCTTTCTCAGCTGAATTGTGAGAGTGGGGATGTGTCATATTTACCTTTAAATCCCCAGCACCCAGTATGGTGCCTGGCACATAAGAGTTGCCCAGTGCTTGCTGGATGATGAAGAACGACATAGGCACAGTCGTTTGTCTTACCTTCTAAATTCCCTTTCCTCCTTCACCACCCTCGTTTTAAGAACTCGTTCTGAAGTGCTGAACAGGTGTCCACTAGAAACCAGGCAAATGAAGAAATGGGTGTCCTGAGAGACAGGTGGCATCACGGAATAGTTTTCCTCAGTGGGGCCTCAAATGAGGCGTTGGAGCCAAGGCTGCAACCCAGGGGCTCTCTCTTAATATTGGGTAAATACTGAGTCATCAAAAAGGGGGCTGCTGCTCTATAAGGGTTTGGAAACCACTAGGCTAGGATTCATTTATTTTTGTGGATCAGGTCAAGAAGAACACCAACCACAAAGGTGAGCAGACCACACAACTGATTAAAAATAAGCCTTTGTGGGTCCTTTAAAAAAAGGGATTCTTTCTATTTTTAATGGTTTGTGGCTTTGCCAAAAGGAGAAGAAAAGCAGTTCAGACATGACCCTTAAGGAACAGCAGATATTCCACTCCTATTGATCCAGTCTCATTTCCCTTCAGTGACCTCACAGATTAAATATTTTGCAGCTCGAGATCTGTACCAGCGGATGGTCAAACAGTAAACTCTGTAAACCCAAATTCTTGGCCTCTGGCATCACAGCCTATTTTGACAGGCCCCAGAGACAAAAAGGTAGCAAGGAGAACACAGGCATTTCCCCAAGAGAAAGCAGTGAAGGGACGGACACTGGCCCTTGGGGACCAGCTCTGGCTGACTCTAACTTGGAACCCTAACTTCCCAATCACCCCAACCAGGATGTGCAAACAAAACTCTTCTACGTGACCTATAAAAAGCCTCCGAACCTGTTTTCCTTTTCCTGCCCCGGGAGTTCGAACTCACCCTGATGCTCCAGGCCTTGGTGCACTATGTCCATTATTCCCCTGATCAAGATCCTACACTGTGGGGCCCTGGCCGGGTAGCGCAGTGGGTTAGAGCATTGTCCCGATATGCCGAGGCTGCTGGTTCGATCCTCGGTATAGGGCACATACAAGAATCAACCAATGAATAAATAAGTGGAACAACAAAGTGATGTTTCTTTCTCCTTTCCTCTCTCTCTCTCAAATCAATAAATAAAAATTTAAAAAAAATTTTTTTTTTTAGGATAAAACCTAAAGCCCTGCTTGACATCCAAGCCTTCTCACAATCTGTTCCCATTTTTCCATGAAACCTTCTTCTCCCTACCTTCCCCTCTAGGTCTGGCTGCTCTCCGCTCCGACTGCATTCTCCCCCCACAACAAAACTTACTTCTGCTCAAGCCTGTCAGCATCTCTCCGGAGTCCACCTACCCCACCTGACTCAGAGGGCACCATCACAGCATCCAGGAAGCCTCCTGTTGGCACTAGTGCCTCAACTCTAATTTTCTGTAAAACAGTTACTGTCCGAACCACACAAAATCACACTCAATTACATATCACCTTGCAGGATTTCTTTTGTAAACACTTTTATTGAGATATAATTCACATACCATAAAATCCAACCGTTAGGGTTTACGGGGTGGGCAAAAGTAGGTTTACAGTTGTTCGCATGGGGGAAAAAAGTAATAATACAAGAATAAATTGTTTCACGTACTCACAACTGTAAACCTACTTTCGCCCACCCCTGTATAATTCACTGTTTTTTGGGGAATAGCCACAGTTATGCAACCATCGCCACAATTAACTTTAGAACATTTTTCTCACCCCAAAAAGAAACCCTGTACCCATTAGCAGTCACTCACTACCCCCGCCCTTCAGTCTAGGCAACCACTGACCTACCTGCTTTCTGTCCCTATAGATCTGTCTATACTGAGTTTCATGTAAATAAAGCCATACAATATGTGGTCTTTTTCTTCTTTCATTTAGAATGTTTCAAGGTTCTTCTGTGCTATAGTATGTCTCAGTACTTCATTCCTTTGTGTGTGTGTGTGTGTGTGTGTGTGTGTGTGTGGTATATACCCCTAGCAGGAACCGAACCCGGGACTCTCTGGTCCGCAGGCCGACGCTCAACCGCTGAGCCCAACTGGCCAGGGCAGTACTCTATTCCTTTTAATGGCTGAATAATATTTCATTGTATGGATATACCACCTTTGATTTATCCATTCACTGATTAATGGACAGTTGGGAGTATTGTTTCCTGTCAACAGTGTCCATGTCTTGCCTCTCCTAAGAAATAGCAAGAAACTTGGAGCAGAATTGATTATTATAATTTCCCCACAGTGCCTAACAATGTCAGAAATGTAGAAACCACTCAATGGGTCTTGAATTAAATTTAGCCTCTAGCAAAGGCTAATTTTTAGAGGAACCAAAAACTCAGCCTATGGTTATTGGGTTTCAGTGGATATTCTCACAGCTATCAGTACTCCTGGATGTCAAAGTCTCCATTTACAAAGCAGGGATAATGCTACTTTCTTCCAGGAGGTGATGGAAAAGTAACCAACTCTTACTGGTTTACCAGGCCCTGCCCATCTGTGTCATTGCCCTGAGTTTTGGCCCTGACCTGAGGGAGTTCCCATGTAAGGTGGCTGATGTGAGGACATCACTGTTCACTGGTAGCTGCAGCAATCAAGTCACTATTCTCCACTCTGTTTTGGTCTTTCCAGTGTCCCCATTATGTCCTCACTGAAAGGCCCTTGCATCTGTGGCTCCATCTCCTCTGAGCTGGCCTTTCTCTCATTAAGACCAATGGTCCAGGGCTATACTTGTTATGTATTAGTTAGCAAGAAAGGAGCTAACTGACACCTTTATTGGGCTGGCCATGGAAGATGAAGGGAAGAAAGCCAGTTTATTGCTCAGCCACTTGAAACCAATGTTCCAGCTCTGAGAGAACCTGACTAATTTGACCGGGATTCTGTGGAAGAAGTGGCAAACCGAAGTGCTTGCATTCATGCGTCTTGTTTCCCGAGAGACGAGGTGGGGAATGGAAGCTGGAGGACATTTGGTGTCTCGATTCCATGGTGACCTAGTCGGAGGCTGAAAGTGTTTGGCGTGAGTCAAATGACAATGTTCATTCACTCTCACAGGATCTAGGTGCAATGTGTTCAAAGTGCATTGTGGAAAAAAGGTACATTGTACTTTGAGGCCCACAGCACAGAGTCACTATTATCTTCACTGAGGGCGGGGAGTTTAGTGTAAGGGCTAGGGCTTGACTTGAACCTCCTTAGACTATGAGGGCCGCTGATGCTGCAGAGAATTCTCCAGAACACAAGAGAGAACAAAGACTCCTGCTTAGCTGCCAGAATCTGAGGGGACTTCTGGTCCTGAGGCAGTTTCCTGGGACAGTATAGATGGCAAGTGGACCATGGCAGGCTGTGGAGCCTGGGTGGATACCCCTTTTGTGGAAGTGAAAGGGATTCATCCACCAATCACCAATCCCATGCTGCTTCTCTAATGGAGCTTCTCCATCCCCTCAAGGAAATGTAGGAACAGATGGGGGACCCACACTTTTGAGTAATCCTCAAGGAGGCAGCTAGTAAGACAGAGAGGTGAGGATGGTGTTTCCCATGGTG